CCAAAGAATGTCAAGCAATATGCACAGAGATGCCCAGCGATATCACGCAGTGTGCCCATGCAACTGGCAGCGTTCCCCTAATTGGGGTCGCGCTGGGTTCAGCGTTTACAAAGTTATCCTCAGATGCCTCGAATCGTTTGCCAGGGACGGCTTGCCATTCTACGTATTTGTTTGACGGCCCCGGGTCCCCGAGACGTCAAACACAGCAACAAACAACAAACCAATAATATAGATTTCGTCCACGACGCGAAGGGGTCTGGGCACCCAGCTCCCCGTCCTCCTCCTTCAAACTGGGTCCTGGTGGCAGGGAGGCCCTGGGAGCCAATGACACGGCTCCCCTCTCGCCCACCCCGCCCCCAGTCCCTCTAAAAGACCAGCGCGGCCGATATGAAGCAGCCTCGAGCTCCACCCAATGCCCGAGATTGGCACGCCCCAGTGGATGACCGTCGTGGGGATGCGCACTCAGAGATTGGTGGGAATCCGGTGGCACCGAGATGAGCCGACGCCACTCGCAAGGACAGCCAAGTGCCTCAGGCTGACTCGAAGGCTAGACACGCCCGGAGAAAGAACATAATAACAAAAAAACACTATGAACATGGACTCTCGGACGCCCGCGCGGACTTCTTGGATCGGCACGGGATCTCCTTCCTGGCACGCGGAGCGCGCTTGGGGCGGCACCGGAGGCGCCGCCATGAGGGTCCGGCGCCGATCTACGAAACCAGCGCAGACCTCCGACAGTTTATGATTACGCAGTGTTCTCCTTCGGGAAAAGGCAACGACATGCAACATGCCGAATTCGTCGTTGGCTGCATGTGACTGGGAGGGGGTCGAAGCACACACCAAGTCGTCAGATCGGCCAAGGAACTCGGAGTATCAAAGTCCCAGCTTCCCAACCTAAGGGGCGCTGAAACGTTTGTTCATGGGGCGCCCGGGATCTCTCCCGGGATGCGTTCGGACCAGAATGTGGAGGCGAATCCAGCGGTGGCGACAGGGGCCTCCCAGGTGGACCAAGCAGGCGAAGACGGGGCAAGCGTAGCGGCATCGGCACCTCTTCGGCCTCTGACATGCACCGAGCTCCTCCGCCGATACATTCTTTAGAAGAAGAAGGAGCGGCACAAGCGTAAAATGACGGAATTCCGCGCGGACTCTTGGATCCGCGCTGCGTCCCCTTCCTGGCGCGATCCGCGCGCCAAGAGCGGCGCCAGAGCCGCCGCCAGAGGAGCACAGCGCCGATCCGAGAAACCCGCGGGATTTTCACGTTTTTTGTGTTTCTGATTCGATCCTTGGCCTCTCGGCCGACCAGACGACCTCTCAAATTGGGTCCCTGGACCCCTCCTGTGGTCCGTCTGGGGTATGGTTGTTCACACTGGATCCGCTTTTGGCGGTCCTAGGTCCCGAAAGCGGCCCCCGGCTGCCGAAAAGTGCCACCATCCTCCCTGGACCCAGAACCTCGAACCTCGCCCCCCACCTCAATAGGGGATATGTCGACCCCCATCCCAGGCTTCGTGGGGTCTTCGATGGACCAAACATTTAGGCCCAACCCTGGGATATACGATGGGGAGGCGCCCATCCCAGATCTCAGATTTCCCATCCTTTCTCTGAGAGGACGAACTTTTCGGGCGGAACTCGGGGGTTGGGGGGAAACATTCGCCTGTGACCCCTCTCTGCTCGCCAGAAGCACTGCTGGGCCACCTCACACCCCTGGCCAGCTACAAACGTGGTGTGCACCTCGAGCCCCTCGATCCGAGTGGCCAGGCGGGAGCGGAGGCGGGGCGCGATTCTTCTTCAGACCCCAGCAAGTTCACCTGCATGAAAGGGGGGGAGACGGGGGGGTCTTCCTCCTTCACGTGAAGCTGGGTCGAGGCGCCTCCAGAAGAGGGACGCCTGCATTCCTGTACTGCCCCTACGGAACGGAACGGGGGGGGGCGCGTGGCGAGGCCTGAAAGGAAATTCGGACTTAACGCGGGTCTGGCCGCACTTTTTCACGCCCCTTCTGCCCCGCGCTGCTTGGCAAGGCGGCGGATGGGGGGGGGGGGGAAGCCGTGCAGGTCAAATTTCGGCGACTCCGAAGGGTGTGGCTTGCAGAGGGTGTGGTTTGCACCCGGCACCCCAGGGGGGCACCCTGTGGGCGGGCGGGAACTTCGACGGAGCACTCCGCCGCGCCCCGTGGAGGCCCGACGAGGACGGCGTCCTGCTCCCTGGCCCCCGCGGTGCCGATCGCAGACCACGGCCCGGCATAACCATGCCCACTGTAGTCGCCGAGCCCTGCCCGGGTCCCAAGAAGAGCCAACCTCCGGGCGGGCGCGCCGGGCGGGGAGCCCGTGGCGGAGCGCGCGCACCCGCAGCGCGGCGGGGCGGGGCGGGCACGAGCGCAGGCAGGCCGCGCCGCACCTGCGGCGCGGCGAATTTCGGTGAGCCCTCGGGAGGACGGCTGCCTTCCCGAGGAGAGGAGGGGGAAGGCGGGGGGCTCTTGCGGTGGCCAGCCCCTAGGGGGGAAGCGAGCAGGGGCGCTCAGAAGACTCGGAGGTTCCCCGGCCTTCCGAGGCGCCTTCGGAGCCTTCCCCGAGGACACGGATCACTTCTCAGACGGGATGGCTCCTGAGAAGGCCCGCCGCCTTCTGAGAGGGTCGTCTCCTCCTCACTTCCCCCCTCGCTCGCCGCCGAAGGGGGTTCTTGAACGGGACACTTCGGGAGACCCAGACCCGATGGCTTTTGGGCGATGTTCGGCCTCGTTGGGCCCTCGCCAGGCTCTGGGACCGCCAACAAAACGACTCGGAATGAGACGCTGGTCCTAGGGAACGGGTCGAGACCTCCGCGGGCCCACGCGTTTAAAAAGTCATGACGTCGGGGTCTGTTGGCGGCGACTCCAGAGGGGAAGTGAGAGGGATCTCAGAAGGCTCGAAGTCTTCGGGCCTCCTGAAAAGTTGCCCAGTGGCGTCTGAGCCTTCCCGAAGACGTGCAGGCCTTCTCAGAAGGAGCGAGGGCGTCTGAGAAGACCTGCCCCCTCTCCCTCCCCCCCACCCCCCGAGGCTCACCGCCGACACGTGGACTGGACACCTCTGGAGACGAGGCCGGGGCTGGCCAGCAGCGGAGACCGGAGAAGAGGGCGGTGGCAGCCCCTGGAGCAACGGCAGCGATGCACGGGGGCCCGGCCACGCCACTCGCCAGGAAGGGCAAGCCTGCCCCACGGGCAGGCGGGCGGCCACAGCCAGTCCCGAGGAAGGGAGGGAGAGGCGGGGGGCCACTGGGCTGGACGCTTCGGGAGGCGAGGCTGGGGCTGGCCAGCGACCGAGTGGGGACCAACTTGCAGAGGGATTGGCGCTTCCAGCAGGCGGGAGCGTCAGAGCTCGTTGAAGAGCACGCTGTAGTTTCACCGAACAGGGTTCTTCGTGTGCCGATCGTGAGTCTCGCGAGGTCTGTGCTGACAGCGTCCTGGCGATTAAGCCGAAGCCAGGAGGTATCGAAGGTTCGCTCCAGGGCGTGCTTTCGTATTAGTCCAGTGTTCTGCGAGCACACGGACGGCCAGAACACGTGACGGGGAGGTTGGTGGGGGGGACCGATCGTCTGGACAAGGGGTGGGATGGGCCCCGAGATCCAACGTAGCGAAACAGATACAACATCGCACAACCGTGCGACCAGAGCCCCCGACCCCATCCGATTGCTTCGACCTGGATCAGGCTGTGAGGGCCCTTGGGCCCGACACCAAGCGAACACGCCTGGCCCGAACAAATGATACGCTAGGATAGAGGCCTCCTAGATGGGATCCGAGTAGATGGGGTCCGAGGATCGAGCTGCATCGCCAATGCATCGCCGACGCATCGGCGTGAAGAACATCGGGATCCACATCGAGCCGCATCGCCGATGCATCGGCGATGTGGCGCGATCCTCCGACCCCACCGGCTCTGTTCCCACCGGGGAGGTCTATATGGGATCTCGGGGGAGGGGGAGGAGGATGGGGGGAGCGAGGGGAGCCCTGGCCCCGCAGGCCGACCAACCTCGCCCGGGTGGGGATGGCCGCGAGGACCCGCCACCCTCCAGAGCAAGACGGGCTCGGCCACGCCTCGGCACCGAGCGGCCCGAGCCTTGAGGAGGGGAGCGCAGAGAGATACCGACGCCGCTGCTCCCCGGACCTCTCCTGGTCTGCAGATTAGTGGATACCATCTTTTGTTCGGCCGCGACCGACGAGATCGGTCGCTGCCGATGTTGCTCCACATTCTGGTATCGGTCACGATCGGTCAAGACCGTTTTGGAGTGCCGATCAATCGCTGGCGATCGCGACCAAGAAGCAAGTGGCAAGCATGCCCTGGCTCTTGCACGAGGGAGGGCGAGGGCCAGGCGAGGCGGGTTGGGGAGGGGGACGGGCTCTTGGGGGCCGTCCTGATGTTCTCCTGGGGCCATCGTGATCATCATGGAGAGCAGGGGCAGGGGGGGCCCGGAGGGGTGGGGTGGGCTGGGGGGGGGAGGGGAGCGAGCGAACGAACGACCAACGACGAAAAGGAAGGGCTCCGAGCTCAAGAACACAGCTGTGCAACAGGCTCGTGAGTCGTGACGACTTTCGGCGTCGGCTCTTGGCCCTCTTGGCGCCGCGGCGTGGATCGTTCAACACTGAGCGATCGCGGGATTCTGGTGGCGTTTGGGCATTGCGTTGTGGGGGGGGGGGGGGGGGCGATGCATGGGGAGGCGAAGGAACGTACACGTACGCCTTTCGTGCCCCTTTCCGGGCACACGGGGCCCCTGGGCCCCTTCGGGCACGAGAGGTGCACCTCTTGCTCCCCCCCTCCTGCCCATCGCCCCCACATGACGCAACGCCCGAAACCCTGAGCGACCGCGGGTGTCCAGTGGCGCAGATCGCGCAATGTCACCCGACTCCAGGCCACTGGCAGCGTGCAGTCTTGAACGCCCGCGCTGGGGTCGCCGCGCGTCGACCCGACCCTGCACGACCCTGCCGTATCGCGGCATCGTCATCTCATCCACCTCTGAGCGCCTTGAGAGCGATGGCCTCACGCCGAGCAGGCTGGGCCCTCCTGGAGGAGCAACAGAAACTCGGCAAACATTGACTTTCGGAGGTCCGCGGGTATCTCTCGGAGCGGCACAGGACCCCCCTCCCGGGCGCACGGAGCGCACCAGGGGTGGCGCCAGAGGCGCCGCCTGGCGGGCCCCGCGCCGATCCGAGAAATCCGCACCGACCTCCGAAAGTTTCTGCTTCGGGGGCGCCAACGAAGGGAGGCGTCTCAGAGGGGGGGTGCGCAGCATGGCCCGAGGCACGTGCGCGGACGAGGAGCGGTGGGGCCAGGGAACGCATCAGACAGAGAGGAGAGGGCCACGCAATCTGGGTATCGGGGCTTGCCGCCATGATATCGACCCACCCCTAGTCATGACACCCTTCGTGGACGCCCTCCGATGCAGAGGCCTCCTATACGGGGTCGGATGATCGCGCCGCATCGCCAAAGTATCACCGATTCATAGTTGATGCATCGGCGAAGCCGGCGGAGCGTCGTCGCCATGGGCGTGGATGAACTCTGGCTTCACATCGAGCCGAATCGTCGACGCATCGTCGATGCAGAGCGATACTTCGCATCCATCAACTCGGACCCCAGTCAGGAGGAGGTAAGGCACCCGGTTGCGCACAGGCAGCACCACAGGCAGTCCAGGCTGCCCTCAACAGGCCCAGCGAATAGCCTCAGCTGGCCTCAAAAAGCCACCCGCGCAGTCCAGGGCGGTCTCAATCACTCAACCCTGGGGCTTGGAGCGCCCCAGGAGAGCCGCCTTGGGCGGCGCCAGGATGTTGAGACCGCCCCGGGCTACTCGAGGGACCTGCTGAAGCCAGCTGGTTCTACTCGGGGGGCCTGTTGAGACCAGCGGAGACTGCCTGCGGGGGCTCCCTGTGCGGAGCCCGAAGCCTCACAACCTCTGTAGTGTGTGTGTGTGTGTGTGTGTGCGTGTGTGTGTGTGTGTGTGTGTGTGTGTGTGTGTGTGTGTGTGCCTGCGTGCCTTTGCTTCTCCGACCTCCGGGGGCACCAGCGCCTCGCGCTCGGCCACCGGCGGGCCCCCAGCGAGCCACCGCGCTGGCGCCCAGCGGCGGGCCTCGCGCGCGCCGCCGGCGCGCCGAGCCAGGACGGCCGTGGCCGCGAGCGCGGCGAGCAGGACGGGCGGGAGGGCGGCGCTGGCCCAGCTGAGCGCCCCGTGGGCGGGGCGGGGCGGCGCGCTCGCGGAGAACTTCTTCTGCATCCTGGCGGGGGACGAGAGAGCAGAAAGCACACAGAGCCAAAGCACCTTCACGACAAGCACCCCAACGAGCGAAGCCGTCTGTTCGCCCCATGATGGAATCGAGCACGTCAGGCCTGCTTAGTAAACGCCCAAGGCCGATTAGTAAACGACAGTGACAGGTTTCGGGGTGGTTCTTCCTCCCTCGAACAAGCTGGGTGAGCCTTCATGGGATCCTCTGTGGACCTCCGCGGCCCTGTCATTAAGGCGATTTCAATCTGATTTCGTTTAGACCTCGATCACCCCTCACTACCTGTTCGTCGAGAATTCGTCTGGATCACCTCATAATTCCGTCAAACTAAGATCCAACAAAAGCAGGACGGAATCCCCAAACCTGAAGGAATTCGGACCATCTGAGGCTCCTATGAAGGGCCAGAGAAAAAACGTGACAAGAGCAAACCCTTGCGGAGGTCCGCGCGGAATTCCCGGATCGGCGCTGGGCCCCCCTGGCGCGCGCCGATCGCGGGGCCTAGCGGCCTTCTTCTGTTCTTCGAATCCTGATCTCGAGCAACTCGTCGTCGCATACCTGCTCGCACAGCGCGGTGCACGCGCAGGGACTCGCCCGGTCCCAGCCCTTGCACTTGAACTCCTCGCAAGAGGCCAGAACCTTCAGCTGCTGCGCCTCCTCCTCGCTCGGCGGCTCCTCCTCGGCCTCCTCGGCCTCCTCGGCCTCCTCCTCTCCGCACCACGTGCCCCTGCAGCTCGAGCAGTGATCCTGCGAGGTGCCGCAGTAGCTGTCCGAGTGCATGGTCGCCCCGGGCCAGCACGTGCCGCAGATGTCTGCGGCGTCCTGCGCGTCCGCACAGCAGAAGCCACTCGCCCCAGGCGTCTCTCTCTGCTCCTCTGGCTGCTCCTCGCTGCCGTCCTTCTTGAGCATCGCTGAAATAATCCCTATCCCCACTGGCGTGGCCTGGGCCCCAATGACCGATGCGAACCCCCAGATGTGGATGTTGGCTGTTCCCTTCGGGTTTCGAGAAGCCTATCCCCAACTGGGGTGGTGGGATGGTGAAGCTGAAATGCCATGGCGACATCCTCATCTGTGGCACACGAGTTATCTGGGGTAGACCTGGTTTGGGTGGGGCCCTGGTTGGTGTCTGCAAGTGTGATCTGGAAAATGGTGAAGCCATCCCAAGTAGTCACCGATGGCCTCGCTAGGCCCCCCCGAGTAGTCGCAGGCGGTCTCAACACCCTGGCGCCGCTTCTGGCGGCGCCCCTATGACCTCAGCGCCCCTTGCTTGGGGTGTTGAAAGGAGACCGCGGGCCTGCCAGATGGCCTCTTGAGGCCAGCTGGGACTACCCGGGGGGGGAAGGGGGGCGCTGCCTGTGCGCAACCGGGTTACTTGGCTACCACCCGGAAGACCCTGGAACAAGTGTTCCCAGGATAATTCCTGCTCCTGGAGAACGCTCAAAAATGTCAACGCTCGAGCTGACTACAATCCGGGGAAGCTCAGGCGCGAGAGCGAGAGGCCTGAACCAGGAACTATCCCTGACGACACTTTGCCCTGCTGATAACTCGGGGCTCTGATTCTTTATCAGCGACTGCGTCGCCGCCGTCTTCGAGGTCCTCGTCAACGGGCTCGTCGCCACCGCCCTCGATGTCCTCGATGGGGCCGGCCACGCCCTCGACGTCGCCGGCCACGCATCGCATCAGCGCGTCCGTGGACGTCTTGTTGACGTCGTGCAGCCCAGCGGCAGTGTAGATGTCGACGATGTGTGCTTGGGCGACCTCGAACTGCTCGGCCGTCAACGCCTCCAAGGCCGCCGTCTGCGAGCCGAACATCCACGGCCTAACTTCACCAGAAGCGACGCTCTTGCAGCTCCGGAGGTTGACGTCCATCTGGTCCGGATCCAGCCCGCGCCACAGGGACAGGGCCATGGGCGCCTCTTTCGAGGTCTCCTCCACCGCCATGTCGCAGCTGATGTTTATCCTCGTCCGCGCAAAGAGGACGAACAGAGTGAACTCGGTAGCCCCCTTGCCGTCCTCGGAGCGGGCGCCCAGCATCTCGCAAAGCGGCCCGCCGCACAGGTTGTCGGTGCTCCTGTCCTCGTGGATGAAGTCCAGGAGGTCGAGCACAGTGCTGCGGTGGATCACCATCGGCGTGATGGACGTCGGCCAGCGCTGCTCGGGGCCGCCCGACGACCCGGGCGGCTGCACGCCGAGCGCCGCCGCAGATGCCTGGTACCACTCGGCGTGCGGCTCCGGGATCTGGTCGGGCTCGAACTCGCCGTATATCTTGCCCTGGTTGCAAGGCGTGAAGAAGGCGTCTGGCTCCAGGTCCCGGATCAGCGTGTTCTTGGCGTCCAGCACCACGTAGAAGTCCGACTCCACCAGCGATGCCGCCTTCAGCTTGAAGACCTGCTGTGCCAGCCACCCGCCGACGTGGCCCTGGTTCACCTGCGGGGAGAAGTCGACGATCTTCACCTCGTGGGAGCCGTCGAGGGAGGCTTTCAGCTTGTCGATCGCCTCCTGGAAGATGGCGATCGGCTGCTGTGACACCCACATCAGGATCACCTAACAAAATGAGCGTATGCACAAACAAAAACTTTGGGAGGCCCCCGTGAACGTCTCGGCGCCGGTCTAAGAAATCCTCGCGAACCTCAGACAATGTGTGTTTACGCTGGTTCTTTGGGGACCAAAAAATATGGATGACACGCGGTCGCGGGAAACCCATCGACGTGTTACTTTCGAAGATACACTGAGCCTTCGGACAAAAACGAAGGTGTAACACGCTGATGGATTCGCAACGGCGGCGTGTCAGTGATACGAACGTTCCCTTCCGATTTTCCTTCTCCGATCACCGTCCCGAGGACGTGGTTGGGGTCGTGCCGCGCGATGGACTCGACGGTGTAGCCGAGCTTGCACAGGTCGTGCTCCCAGAACGGGATGACCACGTCTGGTGCGGTGCGCTCCAGCGCAGTGCACGCGTCGCACCCCTCGGCGCGAGCGGTAGTGCTGTTGACCTCGTCGGTGGTCGAGGTCATGGCGGCGGCGGCCGTGGTCGTCGCCGCTCCGCCGCCGGTCGAGGTGGCCTTCCTCTTCGACGGCTCGGCCCCGCTGAGACTCTCCACGCCGCCGGCGGAGGCCGCGGTGGGGGCAGGCGGCGGGGCCGCCGTGGGAGCCGCCGACGGGGCCGCCGTAGGAGCTGACGACCCCGACGTGGGGGCCGGCGACGGCGCCGGCGTGGCTGGCGACGCCGTGGTGGTGGTGGCCGGCGGCGCCGACGTCGGCGCCTTCGCGGTGGTGGCCGGCGGCGTCTTTGTCGTGGTAAACGTGCGCGGCGGCGCTGTGGTGGTCTCGTTTGAGTCCTCGGATACCTTGGAGGCGTTCGTGGTCGTGGAGCCCTTGGAGGCGTTAGAGGCGTTCGTGGTCTTGGAGCCCTTGGAGGCGTTAGAGGCGTTCGTGGTCTTGGAGCCTTTGGCGTTCATGGAGGCCTTGGAGGCCTTCGAGCCCTTCGCGGCCTTGGAGGCGTTAGAGGCGTTCGTGGTCTTGGAGCCCTTGGAGGCGTTAGAGGCGTTCGTGATCTTGGAGCCTTTGGCGTCCACGGAGGCCTTGGAGGCCTTCGAGCCCCTGGTCTTGGAGGCCTTGGAGGCCTCGGGGGCCTTCGTCGGCGTGCGCTCCCCGAGCTCCTCGCAGGTCCACTCCTCCCCGTCCGGGGTGCTGCCGGGGGCGCACTCCACGACGCACGAGCTATACCACTCGTTCTTCCCGTAGCACTGCGTCCCAGGGCGCTTGCAGCACTGGCTCGCCGTGCAGTCGTCCCCCCAGTCCGCGCAGTCGACCAGGTGGCGCCAATTCGGCCCGACGGCCCAGTCTGGCGGCGTCTCCTGGGGGAACAAACATGGTGGGCCTAACTTTCCAAGCGCCACCACTGCAGATCAAGGGCGGCTGACCTTCAGGAGTGGTTTGCTGTGCGAGGCGCCTGCCGCGCCCAGAAAAGCACTGTCAGCCGCCTATGGTCGGCAGTGAAGGTACAGCAACGAGCAGAAGGTACCGATACCGCTGCTCCCCAGACCTCTCCAGGGGCGTATTCTGACCATAACTTCGAAGCGAATCCGGGCGCGGCGACGAGTGAGGGTAGCGGCGTCGGTACCGGTGCGTTCTGATCAGCAACTCTGGGAGAGGCCAATCTAGCCGCGGCGACGGGGGCAGGGCAGCGGCATCGGCACGCTCTGCCCACAATTTCGCAGCGAATCCCGCCACGATGTCGAGGGCAAGGCAACGGCATCGGCATCATGGCCCTCTGACCAGAACTACTGCGGGTGAATTCGGCCGCGGCGACGAGGGGATGGCAGCAGCATCGACACTGGTGCACTCTGACCGGAATCTCGCAGCGAATCCGGCCGTGGCGACGAGGGGAGGGTAGAGGCATCGGTACGCGTGCATTCTGGTCAAAATCTCGAAGCGAATCTGGCGGTGGCGACGAGGCAAGGGCAGCGGCATCGGCATCGGTGCGCTTCGACTTGAACTTCGAGGCGAATCCAGCCGCGGCGACGAGAGGAGGGTACGGCAGGTTCGTGTCGTGACGACTTCAACTTTGGTGTCTGACACCGCGTGGATCGTTCGACCTTGAACGGTCGGCGGCTCTCCGGTAGCGCAGGTCGTTCCCGATCTGCCGATCCTGGGCCACCGGCGGCGCTCAACCTCGAAGGCCCGCGGCGGGGCCGCTGATACGACGCGAACCTGCCGTGGCGGCATCGGTGTTGGAGGCGGCGGGAAGGTCTGAACTGGATGGGCTCCGGGAGAACTTGTCAAGAAGGCACTGGTCCATCTGGTGCGATTTTTTCACCTCAGAAATGTTGGTGGTCCGGGGGCCCGGAAACAGGCCCCCAGAGAACGAAAACGTAAAGACCTTGTTCGAACCCAAGCCCCCGAATCTCGCCCCCCCCCCCATCCCCCCCTCTGCCTGCAAGATCCAGTGCTGGGCAACCTCGGATCCCCAGCCAGCTCCACCATCGGTGCCTCATCCTTCTTTGAGCTCCCGCTCCTGCTCGTCGGCGCGGCAGGCGCCGAGGGCGACTGCGAGCAGCACAAGGCGCGCCATCGAGGCGGGGTCTCAACGGGGGCGCTGCTCGTTGCTGAGGGCGGCCGGGCGGGAGCCAAAATGGCTTGGGCCAAAACAGCTGCGGGGGAGACGAGTCCGCTGAGGAGGACGAAGAGGAAGACGACGAGCAGAAGTAGGAGAAGGAGGAGGAGGAGGAGGAGGAGGAGGAGGAGGAGGAGGAGGAGGAGGAGGAGGAGGAGGGAGGGGGAGGGCGGAGGAAGAGAGGAACATTGTTGGAGGTCAGCCTTGCTCAGTCCCCAGGGTGTTTGGTGAGCTCTGGTGCGCTCGAGGGCGGTCCTCATCTTGCTCGCTCCCTCCCTCCTCGTCCGCCTGCCTGCTCCTCACCCCCCCCTCCGCCTCTCTCGTCTCTCCTCCTCGTCCTCGTCCTCCTCCTACTCCTCCTGATCCTCATCCTCTGTCAATTCGTCCTCTTCCTCCTCCACCTCCTCCTCTCCCGAGTCCACTTTGCCTCAAGCCTGCCCTGTGCGTCAGGCGGGCGCAGCGGTTGGGGGGGATCCCTAGCGCCCCGCCTCCTCAGGGGGGAGAGAGGCTCAGTTCTCTCGCGCGCCGCCATGGCCCCGACGGCGGTGGCTGCGGTCACTCCCCGGGGCGCGGACTCGCCCGCGTTCGCGTAGCGGGCTCTCGTGGAGGAGCAAGTGGGCACGGCCTTTGCGGGCGCAGCCGAGGGCGGGCGGCGCGCCCAGGCAGGCCATGGCGGCGGCCGCAACAGCGGCGATCCGCGCTGTTCGGGGCCCCCCGTGGCGCGGGCGACGGTGAACTTGGCGACGTGATGGCCCTCCTCAAGTGGGACGCACAAAAGCGTACTAGTACGATGTGCTCTCCTCGGGGAGGCGCGCGTCAGGCCCGAACGTACAGCACAACCACCTTGTGGTATGTGTCGTTGCCCGACCGTCATGGCCAGGAAGCGCCCGCCACGGAGCTCGTACTATCAGATTTCTCGGAGTGCGTGTCGCCCCCTGGGGGGGGGGACACGCACACATGTCATCAGCATGTCGGTGCGACGCCGATCAACCTAATCAAGCCCGTCGTCGCAGAGGGCGTCCGCACACCGGCCGAGGCGCGGAGTCTGTATGTCACAGGCGGCTGCCGAGCTTGGCGCAACGTGGCCGAGAACGGGCTTGTCGACCACTCGGGCGCCCGTCGTGGGCAAGCGGCTGCGTGGGCAAGGCGGACGCCGTGGGCAAGCGGACGTCGTGGGCAAGCGGCGCTGCCGTGGACATCGCACTGCCGTCGGACATCGAGACGATGGACGAGGCGGACGACCCTCTACGACGTCCGATTTCCTCTGGACATCGCACTGCCGTCGGACATCGAGACGGTGAGCACGGCGGACGCCGGGTGCAAGCGGCTCCAGCCCGGGCGCGGCCGCCTCCGGCGCTGGAGCTGGCGGCCTCGGGCGGCTTCGGGCGCGCCGAAGAGCGTGCCAGTCGCGATGGCCGCCGCGGGGCCCTTGGAGTACAACATCGGCTCGGACTCGGACGTGGATCACGAAGCGTTCAAGAGGCCGCAGCAGGCCTGTGCCGAGGTCATGGCACTGGACGTGCAAGAGTGCTACATTGGCGATCACGAGGGCACCGAGAGCTCGACGCTTGTTGGCGTGTCAGGCTCCGCCAAGCGCCCTGTGAAGGCCGTTTGGCGGACAAACTCACCGACATCAAACGACTCTTATTCGAGGTGCCGGCCGGCATCCTCACGGACCCTTGTAGGATCGAGCACTGCGATGTCCAGAGGAAGGAGGCCGAGGAAATGAAAGAGTCGATCAATGTGGTGAGCGTCCCTGCGGTGATACTTGGTGCTACTTTGGCGGGAGCCCCTGTCCTCGAGGAGACAGGCGGCATGGAGAGATCAACAATGCCGTGGAGGACAATGCCGCTCAGGGGGAGGCGGCGGCGGCGGCGACTGAGGCAGAGTTGATCAAGGACACGGTTGCTGCGAAGCCCACATGTATGACCGACAGTGCTTCTCTGTATGAGGCGGCGGCGACGGAGTCAGAGGCGACGAACTTCACGGCCGATTTGAAGCCCCAGATCGAGACCGCAACCGCTGCTTAAATGGAGGCGGCGGCGACTGAAGGCGAGAACATGCGGGTATCTGTGCGCACTTCTTGCGAGTAGGAAGGGAGCGACCCTGGGCAGCCCCGCAGAGGTCAGACCCCTGAGGTTCACGTACATTCTGCTGGCGCCTCTGCCACGAAGCACGCCGCGGTGGTCGAGGAGGGTGCGATGAAGGACAGGGCCGATGCAGAAGCACATGTTGCCAACGCCGCGCAGGAAGATGCTGAGAAGACGGAGGCAGGGGTGGTGAAGTGCACGGCAGATGTGCAGCCCTTCTTCGAGGCGCCCTGGGGGAAGGAGATGGAGGCGGAAGCGCTGCTCGAGAGCCTCCCGCGGAGGCGTGAGGCAGACTGCATGGCGCGTCGGGCGCTCCAGCGGGCCGTTGAGCTCAATGGGGTTCATCGAGCATGCCCCCCGCCTCGACTCAGAGAATCCGCGTCGCTGGTGTTCGCCTCCCGAAGAGGTGGAGCCCGTGCCCTGCGGGACGAAGCGGCCCGTCCCCCCAAATACCCAGACAGCGGCAGGAATGGGCCGGGGCTGAGCTGCGCTTCTTCGTGGATCTCTTGTTTTCATCCACATGCTGAGGTTCTGCCAACGAATCAGGTCCCGACGAAACAGCCATCGGATACGAGATCCTCCTCCGCAAGAGAAGCAGCCTCCGCAGGGGGGCCGTCCCAGACCGCCCGAATCGTGCTTCTCCGGGGATCCCTTCCCTTGTCTGCCCGAGGGGACCTCCAGGCTCTGGCGTCGGCGGAGGCTCGACAGCGCGGGGCCTGGCGTGCGAGAGGCATGCCGGGCCCTGCAGCGGTCGGGGGCCTCCCCCCGTCGCCCCCTCCCCACCTCCCCAGAACGACCTCCTGTTGCTTGGTCACAAGGTTTGAAAGGGTCCTCCTCCTCCCCTCTTCCTCCTCCTCCGCCTCCTCCTGCTATCTCCTCTTCTCTCTCTCCCTCCCTCCCTCCCTCCCTCCCTCCTCTCTCCTCCTTCTTTCCTCCCTCCTTCTATTCGCTACCCACCATCACTCCTCATCCTCCTCCTCCACCTCCCCGTCCTTTCACTCGCTTAACCCCCCGTCTCCCTCCACTCCTCCCTCTTCATCCTCCTCCTTCTGCTTCAGGCGCAGCGTCTTTGTGTCGAGGTGCCGTGGAGTCCTGACGTCGTCGTGTCGTGTCCCGACGTCGTGGTTGGTGTCGTGAGGCCGCGAGGCCATGGCGCTGGGGCGCAACGGTCCGCGGAGTCGACTAGTCTCTTCGCCACTGCCACGCCGCACCACCGCACTGCTGGTGTGGCAATGGCGCAAAATCGCGCAGCCGTGCCGTGGTGGTGGTGATGCCAGGGCGCCGCGTCTTAAGCTCTTGGTTGCGCGCCTGGCGCGCGGGATCGTGACGGTCCGGCGTCGTGGTGTCGTCGCGTCGTGGCCCGTCGTGGTGACACGGTGGCGAAGGCGGCCGTGGGAAGGACAAGCCTGCTGCCGATGCTGTCTGGTGCGGCAGAGGCAGCCGCCTTCGCGTCGGCTTCGGCTTCAGCACTGGCTACAGCGCTGGATCCAGCCATAGCCTCACCCGTGGGTCTTAGCTTCGGAGATAGCTTTTGCTTCGGCCTCGCTCCAGGAACATAACAACGCCCTCACATTTGGAATATAAGCCCGCTTACGCAGCGTTGTGTTTCATGAAACTGTGGATTTACTGGGGCTTCGCTTTCCAATGACGTTCGTGTGTTGACATGTTATCAGCTCCATGGTGACTCCTGCTTTGGCTCTAGTTTTGGCACTCGCACTTGCCATAGCGTTATGTTTACCCAGCGCTGTCTTAGTTGAAGTTGGAACATCTTCAAGTGTGACTCCTTCTCTTCGTGTCAGCGTTACACTGTGCGCTGGCTAGAGTTGTATCCCATGTAGCATCCCTTCTTCAACGAATTTCCAGGAAGCGGCCACACCTAATCCACCATCGTGCGCCCTGGCACGTTGAAGCGCTAAGGAATGCCAAAGGCTGTCTGGTAAGACGTTCTGAATTCTAAGACGGGGCACCCCCTCCTCCCAGCCGCAGACTGCTGCGTGCGTCCCACCTGCATTCTGAGGCCATTCCCTCCGTGCCCGCTCGAGGAAGGTGCACGTCCAGCATGGCAACTAATCCCACCAACCCTCTGGGCGTAGGTGGTCTAGCGATATCTTTCTTTCCTCTTCCACAGATAGCCCTCTTCCCTTCGGGGAGGGGTCCCCTCCCCGTCCCCTCCCGGGTTTTTGTTGGGGAGGGGCCGCGAGTCAGCAGAGGGCCCGTTTTCGCTCAAGATGGCTCCAAGAGGGCCCCTGGTGCTCCAAGATAGCCTCCAAGATACCTCAACATAGCGCAATATCGCTCAAGATGAAGAAGCCCCAAGAGGGCCTCAATACGGTTCCAAGTAATCTCGGCGACCCCTCAGGATCCCTCCAAGAGCCTCAAATCCTTCAAACACCGAAGGAAAATTGATGATGTTTGCTGTCTAGCCGTTTCGCTTACGATTCGCTTTGGGGGCCTCGAGGTGGCCCCAAGATGGCCCAAGAAGGCCCCAAGAGGGGCCCGGAAGCGCCCACGACGACACAAAGGGCGCCCGAGAGCGCCCCAAGAGGGCCCCAAGAGGATCCCAAGAGGCGGTTTTGAGAGCCCCAGGGGGGGACCTAGATCCGGACCCCCCTCCTATGATCGATAGTCTCCAAGATGGCCCCAAGAGGAGCTCCAGGGCTCCCAAGAGAGCCTCAAGAGAGCCCCAAGAGGGCTCCAAGAGGGCCCCAAGAGGGCGCCAAGACGGCCCCAAGAGGGCCCATCGACTTTCCAAAAGAGCCCGATGATGGCTACAAGATGGCTCCTGCTCCCCTCGCCCCCACGCGGCCTCCAGGGATGGCCCGAAGAAGCCTTCCAAGGCTACCCAGTTGCTCCCAAAGATCTCTGTGTTCACCCTGGTTGCGCGCTCTGTTTCACTAGACATGTCTCTTCGCCCCTTTTCCCGTCTGCTCTCAAGGTCAGGGTTTCTGAATGGGCTGGTGGGGATACTTATTGATCGCGAGCGCGACGGAGGTGCCAACCGCCGTCAAAGTCGCAGCAACGGGCTACGAGCGAATTGCGCACCTCAGCTTTGTCGGGAGGCTCTTCTCCCCTCCCCTCCCCTCCCTCCTGGCAAGTGGCCAACGACAGAAGAGCAGGGGAACAGGAATGGGATGGGACGAGCGGCCAGCTCCGTCCTTGCCCGTTCTTCCCCTCCCCTGGCCAGGCTTGGTGTTGATGAGTGCTGCCTGGGCTGCCGTCAGCTCAAGACGGCCGAAAAAGCCTCCACGACGGCTCCAAGACAGCCCAACAGGCCCCGAAGAAACTTCCAAGATGGCCCCACACTTGCCCAACAAATCCCCAAGAGGGTCCCACGATGGCCAAAGAGTTTTCACTATGGCCCAAGGAGCATCCAAGACGGCCCCAAGACGGCCCAAGGGGTCCTCCCGTGGGACCCCAAACTGCCTTAGAAAGCTCCTCGACGGCTCCACGAGGGCGCCCACGTATTTTGTAATCCGCCACCGTGCCTTGTGCACGTTGGGGCTTTGAAGAATGCCAAATGTTATCTGGCAGGGTTTCCGTCGTCTTCTAAGGAACACCCCCTCTCGCCGCAGCCAGACGCGTGCATCACCCCTACTTCTGGGGCTACTTGGGCGGTCAGGACGACTCCCCGGCGCTCCCAAAGACGTCCCAAACTCCCAAGATGGCCTCCACGACGGACATGGCAGGCCACCAAGGCCGCCAAGGTGGTCCAATAGGTTTCCATGACGGCCTCAGATGGCCCAAGATGACCTCGAGGCGGTCCAAGAGGCCAAGACTGCCCAATGAAGGCTCCAAGAGAGCCTTCAGCAAAGCCCGAAGACGCCATACTCCTAGTTTTTCCCGTAGGTTGTTGAGGGAGGTCCGAATTCTCACCAGTTCGATCATTCGCTGGATCAAGACAGCACAAGAAGCCTCCAATATGGCCTCAAGAAGACCCAAGGGGGTACCAAGAGGGGCCCGGCCCAAAACGGCCAACGAGGGCGCCAAGAATGGCCCCAGAGCGTCCCGAGAGGACCCTAAGTCGGCCCAAGAAGGTGCTCAAACAGCCCTACAGGTCCCTGGGACGACCCAAAGAGCCGCCCAAGATGAAGTCTGAAAGTACCCATCCGGCCTAATAGCGCCCTCAGACGGCCCAAGGAGCCCACAAGAGCCCACGAGGCGCCCCAAGGCGCTGTACAGAGGCCCCAACAGGCCCCCAAGAACCCCTCAAGAGGCCCCCAGAACCTTCAAGCCCGAAGTGTCACACGAAACAGCCTCCCGTGCCCCCTCGAATAGTCGCCATCCAACGTGCTGGACTGGCAAGGTGGCGGGACTTGCCGCAGGCAACTGGATGCTGCCGAGGACAGCATGTAAAGCAGCACATGCAAGGCATGGGTCAATGCTCAAGCGCGTCTCTGCAAACCTTTTCGAAAACAAACGAGTCTGTACACCCTGCTGTGGCAACATGAGCTCTGGCGCATAACACCGCGTGCACCGCTCAACCTAGACCGACCTTATTTCCCAGAGACGCCACAATGCCCGCGAGGCAAACGTCCAACACTCTCGTGTGGAGTCCGCACCGTGGATTGCCTTTTGTGGTCCTCGGACGAGGCCTGGATAGAGCCCACTTAAGGTGTGCGACCTTGAACGCCTGCACTGCCGCCGCCGCGTCGAGGCGGAACGAACCTTCCGCAAACGACGACGGACGACGCCAACCGTTTACGGGACAACCTTGATTTGATCCACGCTGCCGCGCATGCCAGCGCGCGCGCAAGCGTGCATCGAACTGGTCTGCCGGTACATGGTTGGCGTCGGCCATCAGGCGGCGGCTCCTGAGTGACATGGGAGCCGCACGTATATGCACTAAGGAATGCAGGCCCTTGCACGACACTCAATGTTGAGGACACGGTTTTGCACACCACCCCCACAAACAAGCTGGTCCAGCGAAAGACCGTTGAACCAAAATGGCACGCCCTGGGGGCACGATTGTTGCACGCCACGCCCACAAGCAAGCTGGTCCCGTACAGGTCACTCGCGCGAGTGCTGTGGCCATAAAGTGGCCCCCGACGTGTATACTTGTTTTCACGTCGCACGCTCGTGAACCTTCCCCGAAGAATCTCCTCGGCGACGTCGGCGACGCATCGTCGACAACGGCGCGGATACTATTGGGCTCCACATCGAGCCGCATCGCTGATGCATCGGCGATGCGGCACAATCCTCCGACCCCATCTACTCCGACCCTATCTGGGAGGCCTGCATCTGGAGGCGGCTAGGGGCATCTGAACTGGTTAAGACCCCAAGACATCGCTTAGGAAAGACGGGTGCAACCACATCCGCTCAAAATCGGGCCCGGGACCTCTCTTGGGGTCCATCTGGTGGATGCAAATTTTCACCCTGGATCCGTTTTGTCACTGTCCGTGGGCCCGAACACGGCACCCAGAGGCCACAACCAAGCAAACTATCACACACACACATATTCAACAAGAAACCAAAAACTCTGACCTGGCCGGGGCCATCTCAGACTGCCAGACGGCTCCAACATCAGTACATATTCCTCCCCAGAACTGCCGCTCTGGCTCGTCGGCGCGGGGGAGATAGGACCAAGGCCATGCTAACGACGATGTTGGTCACATCGATGTTGGGGATATCTGTTCTGCGACGCCGAACTCGCGCAGAACGCATTGCAGGATCGCACGGACAAACCTTCTGCACACTTGGGTTGGCCACGAGACCCCCCCTGCAATACGGAAACCCACATCGCCATAATCCACATCGCAGTTGGCCTGCCCACGGAAGGAGGAGGAGGGCGAGGAGGGGGCCCAAAGCCCCCCGGCCGTGCTCCTGCCCCCCACCGCGCCCCGCCGTCCTGCGCGGGTGGCCGCGCCGCTCGGAAGCACGAAGGCGGCGGAGGCCCAGCACACCGCGGCCGCAGCCGCGGCGGCACACAGTGCCTGCAGCCGGCTCGCCCAGGGGGGGGACAGAGCCTCGGGTCTCCGACGCCTCCAAAAGACGTGACACTATGCTGTGCCCTCGTGTGCACTCAGCGGTGCTCGCCCACCCCTTCCCCAAACATCACCTGCACCTGCACCCAGAAGAGGGCCAAGGGTTCACTGTTTGGGCCGCCGCTGCCAGCGACTGCGGCACAAGCCGGCGGTATTACTTGTTTCATCGTTTTCTCCAGATGTACCTATGCGTGTTAAAAATACTTGTGTCCGACCAGAGGTCCCCTAGATGGGGTCCGAGTTGATGCGGTCGAAGATCCCGCCGCATCGCCGATGCATCGGCGACGTCGACGGCACATCGACGACTCCGGCGCGGGGAAAACCGGGCCAAACATCAATCAAGCCACGTCGCCGATGCATCGACGATGATTCGCGATCCTCCGACCCCATCCACTCGGACCCCACCTGTGAGGCCTAGAGAGACAAACGGTCTGTCCATCCAGCTGCCGAAATGACGTCACTTCAGCGAGCGGATAAGACGAGGCAAGCTTGGCGACAGTTCTGCGTGGCATATAGCAGATGGGTCGACTACGTAAGGCGAGTCGCATGCAGGAAAAAAGAGTGGTGGCTGCGCTGGGCGAGCAGAAATGAGAAAACACGAGCGTGCACTGTGCAAAGAAATTGCGGGCAAACCAGCGAAGATGACCGCCGATCATGTCAGACCTGGAAGACACATGCGCACACTTTTGACGCCGCGGCCACGGCGGAGCCACGCAGAGAGGTCGAGGATCGCCCGAATGCCGCAAGGTGATGGCCGAGGCCAGGGACTCAGGCAGCCAAACGGAGACGCCGTCCCCCCCCACCACACACGCCTGTGCTTGTCTCCTCCAGCGGCGAAATGGCGGCACCGTCGTGGGCGCTAAGCCGGGACACGCTTAGGCGAATCCCACCTGGCGTATCAGATGGGTGGTTTCGATGGAAGCAGACACACGCGGAACGAAAACGCGAAGCCGCGCGCACACACACACACACTCACACACACACACATACACACACACGTACACACGTACACACACACACACACGCAAGCACGCACACGCACACACACACACACACACCACACACACACACACACCACACACACATACACACACGCAGTATGTTTGGCGTCGCGGCCACGCGCGCGGCGGCGTGGCGTAGAACGGTCGGGCACAACAACACACCAACACACCCATACACGCGCACACACACACACGCACACACACACACACACACACTTACACACATACACACACCTACACCCACTTACAAGCTTCTCGCCTGCACTGGGGCCGGTTCTTGTTGGCCCTGAGGTCAAACACAACAAATGTCCTAGACGAGGGAGAAAGTCTCCAAGCACGGGAGGGGCGCTCTGAGGCCCACGCATGGAGCAAATGATGTCTTCGGAGGTAAGTATGCGTGGTAGATGATACACTCCTATGGGTGTACACAAGGAGAGAGAGAGAGAGAGAGAGGGAGAGAGAGAGAGAGAGACAGAAAGAGAGAGAGAGAGAGAATGAGAGAGAGAGAGAGATGGAGAGAGGGGGGAGAACGGGAGAAAGAGAGAGAGCGAGAAAGACAAAACAAAAGAAGAGGGAGAAGGCGGCATCGTGGCAGCGCTTGCGAAGGCGGCTTACACGCTTAGAAGCAGTGGTCCGCGCATTAGAGCGCTCAGATGGAAGCAACGCTCGGTGAGCGGGCTCGGGCTCGCGCGCGCGTGACGTGGGCCAAGCATCGACGGCCGAGCGCCGATCGCGCTCGTGCGGAACGTGAGAACTTCGTTTTTGATTGTCGCTCAAGTGGGCCGTCGCCACTTCCAGAGAACAGCGGGCACAACACAGGCGCCGCGCCAGCCCTTTGCACGGCGCTTGAGCACCACTGTCGTCCCTGAGCCAGGTTATCCGGCAGGACGCGCGTGTCAAAAGAAATATTAGGTCGGGAATGTCCCCCTGCAGGCGGATTTGGGACGAAAATGAATATTCCTCCTGTAGAGGGACAGGCCCGACGTGAAAGAAACAACAGAACGCCCGACTGCGAACCAGCGCTGCAACACACAGAGCGCCCGACCGTGAAGCAGAACAAAAAAAACACGCCCGACTGAATGCAACAAGGAGATGGAGCACGCGAGGGAAGAGGCGGGGGGGACGACGGCGACGGGTAGGGGAGAAGAACCCGTGCCGCTGCCAAGGCCACGCTAATCGCGCTGTCGGTTGCCGGTGATGTTGGGAGCCTGGCTTTCGCGACACTGGACTCGCGCGGAACAGATGGAAGGAAGTCACGAACCACACCTTCCTACATGTCGTTTACGCGAACGTATCGATCAACAACGGCACGGCGAATTGCAAGCCAGCGCGAACCACGGGCCCCTAGAATTGGTTAGGCCACGAGCCAGCCGCACCTACAACACAGAAACCTGCATCGCCATTACCTACATCGCCGATCGCGTGTCCACGGAACAGGCTGTCATCAAGCGGCCGACCAACAAAGTCGGGGCGGGTCGGGGACCACTCCCCTCCGTGACCCTCTGCTACATAGAAATATAGCCTGGCAGAGGCAACAAACAACTAAGTGGAGGTTTATACTCATTTGGCCGGCATCGACTCTTTACGGCATGCGTGCGCCGTGGACGCAAACACTTCGGGCAAGCACAGGATGTCGCACGTATAAGCGATTGCGCAACCACACAAGTGAATAGCAAACGCCAACGACGACAGGGTCTACACTGCAGGGAGCGAAACCGCGATACAGACTGGACAAATGATGGCGACATACGAAATGCCGTGCACGTCGCAGACTAGACATCTCACCAGCCCTCTGGGTGTGAGTGGTTTAGCGAGTTTCCTCTTCCAGCCCCGTTCTTTCTCTGCGGGGAGGGGTTTACCCCTCCACATACTCCCTCCTCTGGGGCTGGCGGGGAGGGGCCACCCAGAGGGCCTGATTTGGCCTAAGATGGCTCCGAGAGGGCCTCAGAAGGCCGAAGATGACTTCATGCTCCACGAGGCCCCAAGACCGCCCCAAGACGGCTCAACATTGACACGGAGCCTTCCACGGAAGCCACCAAGATGTTCAAATACTTCAAACGCCTGAAGGCGAGCATTGTGTTGCGCCTTCTCGCCGTTTCGCTTTCGACTGCCCTGCGAGGCCCCAAGATGGCTTTAATAAGGCCCAAGAGAGCCTCATGCGGAATCCAAGAGGGTCCCAAGACGGCGACGGCTCTAAGAGATGGCTTCCCCTGCCCTTGAATCCACTGCATGCTTCTCCACACCCCTCATCATGGCAACTCGAAGGATAATCGTTTCTGGATGGGCTGGTGGGTCACGCGAAGCGTTCAGAATAAGGCAAAACCGCTCAGAGTAGATCATTAGGAAACATGGTTCCAGCGAGAGCCCTAAGCAGTACACCAGTGACACAGGTGCAAAACAGTTCAAGGCAATACAACGCAACGCAAAGCTGTGCAAACCACATTTGTTCAAGCAAAGGATAACATGCAAAGCAAGTCAAGTACCGAAAAGCGGTGCAACACAGTGCAAACAGAGCATTGCAATGCCGACCATTGCAACACAATGCAATTCAACGCACACCAATGTAAACAATCGTAAGCAATGGAAAATACTGCACCTACGTGCAAAGCCATGCAAAATAGCACAACTTAGTTCAGTATGTAACGAAAGGCACTGCGAAACATCACACTGCAAAGTGACGCAAGCAATGCGAAACACTGCAAAATAACGAGCCGGCAATGAAACGTCAACGCAGGGGCAAAGAAACGTCCACAGGGCGGCAATGGGCGGGCAACGGGGCGGAAACAAGACGGCAATGGACGACGGTGGGCCGCAACGAGACGAGTACCCGCCCAAGCTCAAGACGCCAGTCCCCTCAGAACACACAGCACGAACCCCTACATGCAAGCACTACGTGGGGAAGAACAATATACCCACACTGTGCACATGGCATGGAACTGTGCACTGGCCTACGACAGCGGCTGGCAAACACGACGGGCGAATACCACGTACGAAACCAATTGTAAAAGACGCAAGCAAATCTGGGGAAACCAAAAGGTACCGATACAGCTGCTCGCCGGACCCCTCCCGGGGTACGTCCTGACCAACATTTCGAAGCGAATCCAGCGGGGGCGACGAGGGCCTCACAGGAGGCGGAAAACGGGAAACACGGGCGAGGGGTAGCGGTATCGGTACCTTATCCTCGTCTGGCAATCAAGCACTGAGCTCCCAGGACCGAGGACTCCAGCTCGCGGGCACCGCCAGTGGTTCTGTGGTTGTGGTACAGGCTCCACGTGCATGTCGGCGGCGAGCCCGACAGAGACAGGGCGGGCCTTCTTAGAAGGCTCGCAAGGCCTGCGGCATTCTGAGAAACTTCCCCGGCCTGCCCCGACGACGCATTGGACTCTTCAGAAGGCCGTAGGGCCTCTGAAAAGCCCGCCTCTCGGAAAAGGCCTGCTCCTTCTCACGCCCCCCTCGGGCGCGGGGCCGAGCAAAGGAGATGACGACAACGTACGGGACACGAATACGTACGGGACAATGATGACCCCCTTCCCATCTGCACATCCGAAGATTTGCTGTTTCCCCTTCCTACCCCCAAAACCCACGGGTGCCACAACAACATCGTGAATCAAAGGGTCGCTAAGCAAACCGGGAACACCGCACAAGCCGACCTGCAACATGCAGGCTCATGCAATGTCCCGGACATGTCCGAAGATGCTGTTTCTCCAGGGCCCAGTCTCAGGGGTACCGATCCCATCCCCAATGGGGGGTGAATTCTGCACCCGGGCTTCATTCTTTTTATGGTCCTGGGGCCCAAGGGCGGGCCCAGAGGCCGAAGTCGATGGAACATGCCCGCCTTGACAAGCGAAGCACATGATCGTCGGAAATCAGGAGTCACAAAAGACCGAGGCCGCTAATCCACGGACCTCCCAGGGTGCGCTCTGATCAGAATTTCGAAGAGAATCCAGCCGTCATGACGAAAACTTTCCAGGACGAGCAGCGCTATCAGTACAAGTTCCTGCCATGGTCTGAGGCCCTCTGCGCTCCTTCTCTCTTCTCTTTCCCTTGATTCGCGGAAGAACATATTGCATAAACATCAACTGTGGACGGTCCCAGAGTGTATATTTGTGCAGCTATCTCGTCTTCGGTTCTCTCCTCTTCCCCCTCCGAGGAGAGCAGAGCCTTCGATTCCCTTCCTCCTCTCCCCCTTCTCTTCCCCCTTCGGTTCTCTCCTCTCTCCCCCTCCTCTTCCCCCTCGCTCTTCTTCTCTCCTCTTCCCCCCTCCCGGTCCCTGTCTGCCTGGCGAGCAGAAGCCATGGCAGGCGGGGCGGAGGAGCGTGCGAGGCGGCGGGGCTCCGTGGTTGCTCGCGGCTCGAGCCGACGGGCGGCGCGCGCACGCCGGGGGGCGGGGGGGAGTGTCGGAGGAGGCAGGCAAGCAAACTCCCTGCGTACCGCGGGAGAAGGAGGACGACGACGACGATGAGGAGGAGGAGGAGGAGGAGGAGGAAGAGCAGGGTTTCGTGTCGTGCCGACGCCGGCGTTGGCTCCTGACACCGCGGGTATCGTTCAACCTTGAACGATCGGCCGTGCCCGAAACGGCAGATCGCTCAGCATCGACCGACCCTGGATTGCTGGCGGCATTCAACGTTGGATGCCCGCGGCGAGGTCGCCGCAGGTCGACACGACGCGAACCCACCGCAGTAGAACAAGGGATCCTGCCTTCAGGGGTTGACATCAACCCCTTCACAAGACACTGTCTAGTGTACACGGCGCGGGGCCAGACCTGGTGGGCGCAAGCCTGGAAACACCGCGACCGAAACACCTTCTCGAACCAGGGAAGGACAGTTCGCCAATCGACTTGGCAAGAGGGGCTTCTATCAACCTTCGATTGTTACCCATCGGCCTTGGACCGTCTTCGGCGGTACTCTGACGGTTTTCTGATGCTCCTCGGCGGTCTTCGGTAGTCTTCGCGGGTCTTCGGTAGTGTTCGACGCGAAAGCTGGATGGCTGCGTTCAACAAGGCATTCGCAAGTCGGTCGTCAGGTGAGGAGTCGTCGGGCCCAGCCCTTGGTAAGGAATCGTCGGGCCCAGCCCTTTCGGAACAGTTCAGGATACTGAAAGAGGCTCTGTAAATACACAAAACATACACAGCATTAACATAAACATTTGGAGGTCCGCGCGAATTTCTTGGACACGCGCCAAACTCCCCTCTCTGGCGTGCAAACGCGCTAGGGGCGGCGCCGGAAGCGCCTCCAAGGGGGTCCAACGCAGATCCAAGAATCCGCGCGGACCGACGAAAGCTTCTGTTCATACAATTTGTTGCTCTGCGAGTGAAGCGCGCCCAACCTCGGCAAGGTACTCTCACGCACCCCGCTCCAAAGGTTCAACTTCTTAACCGGCCGTGCGAGTGTGCCGTGCGCGCCTGCCTCCCGCCGAAGCGCGGTCGTGGATCAGCCACCTCGCCGCATGCCCAATGTTGTGGCATCCTGGCCCCTGCTCCCGCAACTCGGGCCGCCTGTCTCTGATGGCCTTGAGATTCGTCAAGTGAAGATGTATACGCGGTAGTGCCCTCTGGCTGCTGGCTCTGGCACCACCGAGTGTAGAGCAGTGCCGCGCGCAAACATCAAGGGGCGAGTATGAGTTCAACACACGAACAAAAATCAAAATGTCCTGGTGATCTGCCTCCGCCGGCTAATTCACTGAAAATCGGACATGCCTCTGCTATCCTCGGGCTTTCTCCAAGAATGGCTCGTCATCCTATGCATTACTCCGTTGACCGTGTGACTGCGGAGGCTCTCTTCCTGTCTGGTATATGATTCCTTGCTGATTGAGGATGGCCGCTTCGGACTACTAACATTAAGTGCATGCGGGTCTGGTGGAAAGGGGGCTTTCTCTGAAGACTTCATCGCGTCTCACTCACAGGAGAGGCTTCCACTCGAGACCCCCTGAATATTCGAACATCAGCAGTCCAAAAGTGACAACGGTAGCAGTTTGAGGATGGCGGCCTCGGATTACTAACATGACACGCGGTCCCCGTAGGGAGAGGCGTCCTGCACGAGACTTCTTCGCGTCTCACTCATAGGAGGAGGCTACCGCTCGAAAAACCCTGAAGACTCAGGCATCAGGAGTCCAAAAGTGACAACGGCTACTGTGTGAGGATGGACGCGTTGGATTACTAATTGAAGCGTGGGCCCCCCCTAGGCAGGGGGCTCCCGCTCGAGACCTCTTCGCGTCCCACTCACGGGCAAGGCTCCCGCCCGAGACTTCCCCGAGCTTCAGGCCCCAGGGGCCCAACAGTGATGGATCGCACACATTTGAAGTTGGCCGCCTCGGATTGCTAACAGGAGCTGCAGACCCCACAGGGAGGGAGCTCCAGCTCGAGACCTCCCCGCGTCTCACTCACAGACGAGGCTCACACTCGAGACGTCCTCAACATTCAGGCCCCTGAAGTCCAAACGTGACGACAAGCACAGGTTTGAGGATGCCCACCTCGACTCACTAACATGCTGTGAGGTCCCCGTAGGGGAGGGGCTCCCGTTCGAGGTGTTTTCTCGCGCCTCACTACCTGACGAGGGTCCCGCTCGGCAGGCCCCAAGATGGAGTCAGACACCAGGAGGGAGCCCGAACGCGATGACAAGTACATATTTTCCGATGGCTGCCTCGGACTCCTAACGTGCACTGTGGGCCCCAAAGGGGCGGGGCTTCAGCTCGAGACATCTTCGCATATGTCCACAGACGAGACTCCCATTCGAGACTTCGGGGGTACCCAGTCATCAGGAGCCAAAACTTGACGGCAAGTACATGGTATCGGATGCCCGCCTCGCATTACTAACATGAAGTGCGTGCCCCATAAGGAGGGCACTCCCGCTCAAAACTTCCTCGCGATTCACTTACAAACGAGGCTCTCGCTAGTGACTCCGGCAGGAGTCAAGACCCAGGGAATTAACAATGACGACAATTACAGGTTTGAGGATGGCCGCCTCGGATTGGTTACATGAAGTGTGGGCTCCATTTGGAGGGGGTTCCACTCGATACGTCCTCGTGCATCACTCACAGACGAGGCTTCTGGTCAAAGCTTCCTCAAGATGAATGCGCAAGTGTGTGAGTATGAGTATGTGCGATGACGGTGGTGCTGATGATGATGGTGATGGTTATGATGATGAAGGTCGGTGCTCATGAAGACTGGTATGAGTGATGACGATGACGATGGAGATTAGACGATCGCAACGAATATGACAGCGATGATCATGGTGAGGGGAAAGGATGAAATGTAGGATCTTTCCTGCGCAAGACGGTCCAACGAAAACCATAACCCCTGGCTTAAGACTGTTGGGAACCAACTGTGACCGTCCCCTGTCCAAATCCTCAAGGGCCCAGGAAAGCGGAAACGGCGGAACAAACAAGGACCCCTTTCCCTGAGGACACCCCTTCCTCACGGCGTCCTCTGGTCTGGCGGTCAACACCCGATCCTTGAACATACCCAAGGCTGCGTTCTGGCCAGAGCTCCAGAAGGAATCGAGCCGTGGCGAAGAGGAGCCTCGCGGAGGCCCGAGAACGGTGCATATGCCCAAAAGCCTGAGTCTCCTTCATATATGGCCGTCGTCAGAAAGGGGGGGGAATCACTCGAGGATTCTGCCGCGTGGAAGCGTGCCAACCCCCAGATTTCCGATGCAGGCAGATCCTGCCAATGCGCAAGCGCGACGACGACGCCGACGCCGACGACCACTGAGTCGACCACAACGAGGACCCGATGTCCCCGACGACGATGTCGGCGACAAAGACCCCGACGGCGCGACAACGATTCCTGCGTTCCCCAGAGCACTCCTTCTGTGACGCGGGGCGTCGTTGTTAAGTCGAAAGAGAGGCATTCCTTCTGTGACCCATCCCCCGCCGGGGGTGGTAGGTTTCCGGGCCATAACCGCCCCCCTGGGGTCGTGGGGGGCCCCAGGGGGAGGAGTCGCCAATGGAGGTCCTGGGGGAGGTCCCGCATTCAAAAGGGCCGGCACGTGGCGCACAGTCACGTCGCATAGTAAGGACGCGCGGTAAGGATGCAAGGGCATCGGGGGGCCCCATCGGCGTTTTCGAGCGCGGCTGGCCAGTGAAAGTCGCCAAGGAGGGGCCGAAGGGGGTAAGGATGCAGGGGCATCCTTGAAAATCTGCCCAGCCCTACTGCGCGATTTGAATCTACGGCCACCGCCACACCACGACCCTCGGCCCTCGACCTCTTAACGACCGCGGCGGCAGCGGCGACGGCGGCGGCATCGACCGCGGCCGCAGAGGCCCGCGGGGCTGCACGTGCCTCGCCGCACCGGGGCCCGGCCACATCCAGGAGGGCCCGCCAGTCGGCGGCCGCCCCAGCCCAGTCCTAGGAGGAGGAGGAAGAGGAGGAGGAGGAGGAGGAGGAGGAGGAGGAGGAGGAGGAGGAGGAGGAGGAGGAGGAGGAGGAGTCGCGAGCCCATAGGACGACGCGCCGAGTACGATTCGGGAAGGGCAGGAGCGGGAGGAGGAGGAGGAGGAGGAGGAGGAGGAGGAGGAGGAGGAGGAGGAGGAGGGGGAGGATATTTTCCACCGCAGGCGCACTCGCAATAGTCTGTAGTCCGATGTCCGTGCACACGGAGGGAAGGAGAAAGAGAGAGAGAGAGAGAGAAGGGACGGATAACAAGAAGGAGCAACAGAGAGAAACAGGAGGGGCGGCAGCAAGGGCGGAATGGCACCCGAATGGTCGGCCACATCCTTCCCTGACGCGCAAACGACAAAATCTGAATCCACCAGGCCATCGCCAAGCCCATCCGACGCCTGATACCAGGCAGATGGCCCACCGTTCACCCGAACCACTACCAGCAGCAGCCGCACGGGCACAGCGGAGCAGCAGCAGGGGGACACGCATGGAGACGAGCACGCAGCCGCAGCAGCGAAGAAGCAGCAGCAACAAGGGGAGGCTGACACAGGGGGAACCACCACTGTGGTGGGGGAGCTCCAGGACAAAAACGAGACCCAACGGACTGCCACACACAACCTGCTTTCCGAGCCTCGTACATACAAAAAAGAAGGGGAAGAGTAGGAGGACAGTTGTAAACTCAAGGCGCACGCGGTGCTGCAATGCACCAGCCCTTCAAACTCCCTCTGCAGAAGGCGCCAACTGGCACGAGTATCGGCTCCCCACCAAGCCAGCGCCACTGGCGCCCCCCGCGCCGCTCCCGCCCCTCCCCCGCCCCCCTTCTCAGCGGCGGCGCGATGGAGACGCAGCCTGCTGCTGCCGGGCGCCGTCGACGCCCGCCGCGGCTGGCACCCGCGCGTCGCGCGCAGTACGCGCGGGCCGAAGCCCGCGCCGCCGAGCACCTGCCGGTGCTCGCCTTCGCGGCCCTCGCCGACCACCGTGGCTGGCAGCCATCGCGGCTGGCCCAGGCCCTGGCCCTAGCCAACGCGCTGGCGGTGGCGCCGCCAGCCGCCCCCCGTGCCCACGGCGACGGAGCCGACGCGGAGGCCACCCCAAACGCTGGCGCGCAGGCCGGTCAGCCAGGTGTCTTCAGTACGCCTGCTCCGTGCGCCAGCCCTCAAGGTCAACCTGCGGCAAAGGGCCGGCCGCCCTGCTCCGCTACTCGTCCAAGGCGCCGAAGCGTCTGGTGATCTTGCAGCGGCTTTGCCCTCATGGTCGCAAACGCTGCCACCATCACGGACGCCCTCCTCGTCGTCCCTGGCCGACTGTGCTGTTCGTGCCGCTGCTGCTCCAGAGCGGGTCCGCGATGCTCCATTTTCTGGCGCAGCCGATGCCTTGCAGGTACCCCCAACCCGAGTGGTTCCGGATGCAACTGGTCGGTTGCATTCGATCGTGCGCTCCACAGGTTGGCCGCGTTTCATCAAGCTCGGCACAGAGCAACGGAAATGGAATCGTGTACAGCATGTTTTGTCCAGGCCTGTGATCTGATTATCAACGCAGTTGAGGCTCCTGCTGTTGTCCAAAATATTCAACGCTGCCCTGCACGAGCTGTGATCGATCCAATGTTCACGCCTCTTCGTCCTTGGTGGATTCGCCACAGGCCACCAACAGCTCCTATGGTGGATTCGCGCTGCTCCCAGCCTCTTTGATGTTCTTGTGCAGAATAGATGTAGAGCTAGAGTGGAATTCTATGAGGTCCGCTGAGTCGTGTGGTGTTCAATGCATGGCTACTTCACGTACCCGCTCCTGCCTAGCGGGGCCCCTCGCCGCCAACCCACTCCCCCGCTCATGTGGCAGCTCTGGCAAGTCGTGCTTTCAACGGCTCTCGGTACCTTGGAGTATGGCGTCGCACGGCTCGGTGTTCCTTTCCTCGTCGTGGGTCGCACCCGCTGCTCATGCTTTTGATCCCGGAGCCCCCGCTCCGCCTGAGGTGGGTCTCCCCCTCTGCAGTTGCCTTTAGCGACTGCTTGCGTGTACTGTCTACTTAAGCGGTGGCCAAAACTATGTCCACGCGTCTCCGGTGCAGTCGACGATCTCTGCACGCGCTGTCACGTAGCGCTCCCTCGTCGTGGGTCGCCCCCATCGCCCTACTCCTGCTGGCCGTTCCTCTGGCTTCTCCCAGTAGGTTGTCCCCCTTGCCCGCATGGGGTAGGCGGAACTGTCCCCGTGCTACGGTTCCTCGTCCTGCACGATCTCCATCCGTGGTGCTGCCGTCTTTTCCGCGCCTGCCGCCATCTTGGCACCACACGGCCTTTCTGTGCATGGTCGGTCTTCTGCTCAGGTGAGAGGATCTGCTCACCGCCACCGCTCTGCACTGTTTGCCCGATGCAGGCTACAACCTTCCGACCTGTCCCTCTCCCTACCCTCTATCGCTTCGGGACCTCCTCCTGTGGCTCGTGACCACGGGCAGCAAGGCGCAGTGGCGCACGTCGAGTACGCACCCAGTGAGGCTGCGTGTCGCATCATCGGCCCCCTGCGTAGATATCTGCAAGAAGTCATTTTCGTTGCGGGGAGGGGCCCAGTAGAAGACAATCGCCTGAGAATCCTCAATCGCACCAAAACGCAATTCCTGGAAGTTCAACGCCGCGGATCGACGTAACTGTTACGCCCTGACGGTCCGAAATCGCGCCAGAACGCCATCCCTGGGACTTCAGCACCGCAAAGTAACGTGCCTGTTGCATCCTAGCAATCCTAAAACGTGCCTGAACACAATTTCATTCCTGGGATGTTCGCCAGCGAGGACCCCAAGCAGGGATCTCTCGTGATCTATGCGGTGGAACCGAGACATGTGGTGCAGTGGTGCGGTCCTTGTGGTGCAACCTGCATGGCGCAAAACCACGCATACCAAACCAAACTCATACAACTCAACACCAAACAATGGGAAGCAATGCAGGCAATGCAACCCAATGCAAAGCAACGCTACGCATTGAACTCAACGCCAACCAATGCAACGCAATTCAGAACAATGTAACGGCAAGAAACGGAATGCACAGCAATGCAATGCAATTCAGCACAATGTAAAGCAATGCAACGCAATGCGCGCAATGGAGATACATACAACACAATGCAAAGCAACGCAACTAACTGCGACGCAATACGACGCACTGCGACGAAATGCGACGCATCACAATGCAATACGACGCATCACAATGCAGTGCGACGCATTGCGACGCAATGCATCGCACTGCAACAAAAACTGCTGATGCATGCTGCTCAATGCGAAGGAAGGACTAGCACTGTAAATCATTGCGACGCCATGCGAATCAATGCAAGGCCGTGCACAGCAATGCAAGGAAATATAACGAGCAATGCAACGCAATGCGAACCAGTGCACATCAATGCAATATAATGCGATTGCAACGCAATGCGGTCGAAAACCAATGCAGCGCATTGCGATTGACATGCAATGCGGTTACAAACTAACGCGAAACAATGCAAAGCAACTCAATCAAATGCGATTGCACTGCAACGTGGGGGTGTCGCAACAGGGCGATGGCGACGGACGGGAACGGGGCCACCAAGCGCACACACGGGCCTTTGGTTTGGGAAGCATGGTGCGGCCACAGATGGGAACAGGGCCGCCCGGTCCCTTGTAGGAGAAGTGAAAGCTCCTAAGTGATAGGTGCAAGCTCTGCTTGGGGAATTTTGCCCATACGAACCCTTCAAACTGTTGCAAAAGTAGAAAATGAATGTGCGCGGCGCTGGAATGGAAGCCACATTTTGAAAAAGGACCGCCCTCCATGCTGGAAGCGGTGGCACAATTTGAAATCGACTGTGCGTGGCGCTAAGGCGAGAACCACAATTTGACAACCACATGTCCTCCATCTTTGAAGCTCATGTAAACTTCTAGGACAACTGTGCGCGGCGCTTGGGCAAGAACATTTTGAAAACGACTCGCCCGCCATCCGTGGAACTGCTTTGAACTGTAAAAACGACTGCACGCTAGGCTAAGGAGAAATGGAAACAAAAAGAGGAGGACGAGCCTTCGTCGCCGCCGTAGCCGCCTTCGGCGGCCTCTGGCGGCCACTCGGCAGCGGCAAAGACAGCGGTGGCGAAAGCAATGCCGTCGTCGTCGGCGTCATCGCCGACATGGACGTCGTGCCCGTCGACGTGACCATCGCCGTCGCTGTCGTCAGCATCGATATCGTCGCCTTCCTTCTGGCGGTTTTTGGTAGCTTCCGTGGAAGTGCTCGTAGTCACGGCTAGACGCGTCGTCGCCACCGCTCGTCGTCCTCCTAGGCGACGTTTGATGATCTGATAATGTCTTCAAGCAAATTAGACGGCCAATCGTCTTAACAAGGCTTCAAACGGCCATGTTATTTGGTGATCTTTTGTCTTTCAACTGCCAGACGTCCTCATCGGCTTTCATGGGCCCTCGAAGGTGATCGGAGGCTCCCAGAGGCTTCCAGAGGTTATCGGTGACCGTCGTCGTCCTCCTCCTCCTCGTCGTCGTCGTCGTCGTTGCTGTGGTCATGGCCACGATCGGCGTCGTTGTTGTCATCGTCGCCACGGTCTCGTCGCTGCCGTCGCCGAATGCCTAGGGAATCTGGATTATCGAACGTTTTTCGACTCTGGATACTTCTGCGGGAACCTCTAGGAAACTCTGGAGACTGTACGCCGCCACCGCCGTCGTCGTCGTGGCCGTAGCCATCGTCAACGTCACCACCGTCGCCGTGGTAAACGTCTCCGGCGTTGCCGCCGTCGTCTTCGCTGTGGTCGTCGGCGCCGCCGTCGTCGTCGCCGTCGTCGCCACCGCGGCCGCCGGCGCCGTTCTCGTCGTCGTCGGCGTAGCCGTCGTCATCACCATCTTGGTCGTCACAATTGTCGTGGTCGTCGGGGCCTCGAAGATCGAGGTTCCCGACTTCGTGCCTGCAAGGGCCCTGGGCGAAAATCGGAGGCCGTCCGCAATCGTGGTCGTCACAACCGTCGGTCGTCGCCGTGGTCGTGGTCGTCGTCGTCGTCGCAGCAGTCGATCGTCGCCGTAGACGTGATCGTTGTCGTGGTCGTGGTCGCCGTCGTGGTAGTGCGGGTCGTCGCCGTGGCGGTCGCCGTCGGCCGTGGGGCTTCCGGATGTATCTGCAAGGAACTCCAGGAAACTCGGGGTCTCTCTGAAGGCCGTATTCGTAGCCGTCGTCGTCGCCGCGGTCGTCGTCACTGTCGTCGTCGTAAGGCGCCCTCGCCCAGGTGGCGACGTCGTTGTCGCCGTGGCTACGGTTGTCTCCAAGGTCGTCGCCGTCGTCGTCGTCGGCCATCACAGGCCCCCAGCCAGAGGCAGGAGGGCGATGAAAAGATGCAGGGAAGGGGAGAGCAACAGGAGGTTCACGAGCGAGACGGGGCGAAGGGAGGAGGGAGGAGGACGAGGACGTCCAGGGGCGGGGACGACGACTCCATCGCCGCTCCCAGGCATCCGACAACATGGCTTTGTCGATGCGCGGCCTCAGACGTCCCGCCCGCTTCCCCAGGTTCGGTGGCAACTCACGGGAGCATCCCCTACCATCTCCTTGGCAATGGCGAATCGGCGATGATTGACGCTAATCGACGCTTATGGGCGCTAGCCGACGCTGGTCGACACTGAGTCGGCGCTCTCTCCTCGACCCCCAGACGCTAGCGACCACCCGCGAGTGCACTCTGACGACGGAATTGCGAGGATACAAGAGGCTTCTATGACCTGCGACCAAGACCAAGTACGATTCTTCACCTTGGGTCCACTGTTGATTGTCCTGGGGCCCAAAGGCCGAATCGATGGAAAGCGCCCGAATCGAACACAAAACATAGATGGGTGCGTATATATAGATATATATGTATATCTGTATGTAAATTATAACCAGGGTAAACCCCGAACAGTGTAGCTCTAGCAGCACATGCTGTTCAATCGAAGCGGTGCAATAGATGGTGTGCAGTACGTATTATGCAATCTATGCGGTGCGACCGATGCTGTGCAGTATGTGTAGTGCCCTCTATGTGGGCAAACCAATGTCGTTCAATATATGTGAACACCTCAAATGTGCAATACAAGGTGTGCCATCTAGACTGTGCACTCGGTCTGGTGCGATCCATGGGGTGTAGTATATGTGAAACAATAACTGTGTCACAATCCGTGTTGTTCAACGTATGTCATGCAATCTATGCTGTGCACTCTGTTTGGTGTGGAAATATGTGGGGCAACACATGTCGTGGACGATATGTGGTGCAACATGTGCGGTGACATTTATATATTTATCTGTACACATATATATATAACATCTGTGTGACGCACGGTTTGTTGTGCAACCGAGCCGGTGGCAATCTATGCTGTGCAATACAGGTGTTGCAAATTTTGAGGTGCAACCGGCGCAGTGCAATAGATGCGGTTTTCGTCTATGCTGTCGTTGTGTAACCTTTGTGCTGCAATCAATGTGGTTGGGCAGAATAGGTTGTGCAATGTAGGTTGCGCAAGCTATGCGGTGCAACCTATGCTGTGCACTCTATATGGTGCAATCTACGTTGTGCGTTCTAGGTGGTGCAAGACATGTGGTTGTGCAATATATGTCCTGCAATCTATGTTGTGAAAGAGTGAGCGATCGAAGAACGCGCCGCATGCGAGATTCTTGTTGTTCGTGCAATCCATGTGGTGCAATCCAACGGCGGCGACGAGCGGCTACGGGGCGGCGGCGGTGGCCACGGCGCCGCCAGACCGAAACACACGCCCAAACGACGGGCGGCAACGAGACGGCGACGGGGTGTCGATGGAGCCGGCACGGAACCGCTAGACCGACACCCAATCCAAATCCTTGAGACCAGAATTAAGAAGCCCTTAGTGAAAGCTCGGTTTGGGGAGTCTGTACATATCTATATATATATAGATAGGTATACACATGGATGTGTATACACACATATATATATACTATGTAAATATGAAGATGAAACGTGTGCGCATTTATACATATGTAAGCGGAGACCTGAGCCGGCGGCGGCGACAGCAAGCGCGTGGACGGGGCGGCGGGGTCCCAGGAAGCCATGGCCGCCTTCGGGCTGCAGCGCGCGGGCGCGGCGACGGGGCGAGGCAGGGAGGCGGGCTCATATTGAGGCCTTGCAATCTGTTTTTTTGGTTCATCCGTACGACGTCAGCCCGACCGAGGGCTCGCCCATATCCTGCTCCTGCAAAAGAGGACTTGCGTAGGAGGGCCACACCTCCGACGTCCGGGAGGGATACGTCAGGGAGGACTGGCTCAGCGGGCGGAACATCCAGCTGGAATTGGCGATGCATCCCGGACGCATCAGCGGTAGGCCCCCGAGAGCGAATCCGAACGTTCCTGGGCGGGGTGGTCTACCCCCGTCGGCGATGCTACGGGGGGTCAATGCGTTCATGTCGCTGGAAACTAATAGGAGCCTCCCATACAATCTTGTTGGCTCCTGCGAATCGACGCTAATCGACACGCAGAATCGGCTCTATCTCATCGACGACCAGACGCTGAATCGACGCTAGCGCGCTGTCAAAATGGAATGACGATGGTATGCAAGGCTCCCATGACTTGCTACAGCAATTCCCCGGAGAGCCTACCCCCCCCTACCCTAAGGTTGCCCGTGACAGCCATCGAGAGGATCAGTTTCGCAATCTGCTGCCTCAGGGGGGGCCGCTTCCCGTCGGCTACGCTTAAGAGTGGCCCTGGGCAGAAATGCCTAGTGGTGCGCGGCTTCGGGGGGCCGCGGGACGGGGGAGGGGAGGGGAGGGGGGGGGGGGGGGGGCAAAACCCAAGCGAGCAAGCCGCTGCTACCGCACCGCATGTCAGAGACCGTGGGGCCCCAGTGGGCCCGCACCGGATGGGACGCACAAAGACATACTAGTACGATGCGTCCTCCTTGAAGACGTGCGTCCGACCCGACCATATTATGATCATCTTGTAGTATATCGTTACCCGGTCGGTATTGCCAGAAATCGCCCGCCGCGGAGCTGATGCTATAAGATGTCTGGCCGCGTGCGCCGCCCCTGGGGGGCGACGAACACATAATATTAGTATGTTGGGGTGACGCCAACCACAGGTCACTCCGGCGAAGGGCCACTCCCACGCGTAGCCGAATCCGGGATCCTCAAGAAACGACTGATGAGAAAGACGGCGCCCCCGGAAAGGGAATGCGAGGTCTGAGGCTTCGTGTCAAGCAGGGCACGACGTCAAGAGTTCCCACAGCTTGACGAGCGGTCAAGACGTTGAGAAGGAGCTGCATTCGACAAACATGCAACGTCGAAGACACCTCAGGACCCCACAGGGTGAAGGCGTTTCAAATGAACGCCTTGCCTGCCCTACCAGAACAATTGGTGATGCATCAAGGACAAGCGAGAATGAGCAATCAAAAGTGAGGACTAGGACAAGGAGAAATAACACAAAAAAACCAAAGATGCATCAAATATTGTGTGGCCAATATTGCCGTCCAGAATCAACCTTTCATACATTAGCACAAATCTTTGACCAAGGGAGAGGCCTTTGGCAAACGAACGCACCGTGGGCGTGCAGTGTAGGCGGAAACCGCAACCAGCAAAGGAAACTACTTTCACACATCCTGAACCGATAAGCAATGATACGATCAAGGAACTCAGAAGTAAAGCGAACACGCAGCAATAACCGAATTGTGAATAAGGAGCACATGCCCATTCAGTTATCTGCTACGTACTCCATGGACCACCGTTTTGGTGATAAGGATGCTGGGGGGCGTGGGGAACTTGCACTTCGCCGTTCATGCAGGTTACTGCTGTACATATGATGTTCATATCCACTTATCTGTCGAGTACAATTGGGCTTGCACTACGATTTGTACGTCGTCTGCATGTCGATGACAATTTCGATAAGTTTTCCGAATGCACACAATTATACACATCGATCAGCGTGCCTATTTGCATGCATATTTTCTTTCCGGTGTACATGTCGCTGGCCCTTTCGATATGAATGTAATATGAATATCGATCGGATCAGGACTCAAATCCCTATGGTCGCCCTCATTTACATTCCGACTACCATTTCGCGTCTCAGTTCCGCTGTAACAGTCAGCTCGATGTGGGCTCTGTTGTCCATTTCGACCTGACCTTTGATCCGAATGTCGATGTACATATCAACGTGTGGTTCGATTTGCGAAACTTGCCTGCACCATGCAATTCCCAATGCGCACAAATTTGAATTTCCCATTGGCCAACCGCGCGGTAAACCACTGGAACATGACAACCCACGGGACAACCACGGGTCAATCCACAGGACAGCAACCCACAGAGCAACCCACAGGACAACCACGGAGCAACCCACGGGACAATCGTGGATCGTGGGACAAATGCGGCGAGGGACCACGCAACCAGAGGAGAAACTGTTTGTACGACTTGGCATTTTTGTCCGCCAACGCATCGTCGCCTTCGCCAAGCTCGCACGCGCGGCACGGATCGAAATCGAAATCGACTTCCTGTCCTGGTCATTCCGTTCTCGCTCCCCGCCCTGCGACAATCCCGCCAGACCTCTGGGGGAGGTATTTTTTCTCGCTGTTCCTCATCCACCGGTCTGGACTTAAGGGCCTTCGCTTCATCGCTAGCCGCTGCTGGGCGGCCCTCAGGGCACGGTGAGGGCCCCCCGAAGGCTCCAAAATTGTTCCGCAAGCTTCGCCGCCGGTCCTGTTCGGCGAGGCGGGGGAGGTCGGCGAGGCGGGGGAGGTCGCCCAGCCCAAATCCGTGCACCCCATATCCTTCCTGGGGTCCATCCTTTGGGTGAACCTTCATGGGAGCCTCGGTAAGCCTCCGCGGCTTTCTATAACAAGATGTCAGCTAGGCTTCGTCCGAATGCCGGCCACCCTTCTTCACCCTTTCGTCCGAATTTCGACCCAATGCCATCCATACGACGACCGAATCCGAATGCTGGGGCCCTCTGAAGTTCACATGAAGAACCACACAACATCCTGACCCGTTCTTCGGGGCAGATCCAAACATACAACGAGAAAACTCCAGGATGCCCGAAGAAGACGGCAATCACTAGGAAAGGGATGCCGCTGTCTCGACTAGCCGTTCTCCGACTAACGCCCACTGCCACGCTCTGTCCACAGAGTAGTGCCCCTTAGACGGGGTCCGAAAAGACAGGGTCGGAAGACCGCGCCGCATTGACAATGCATCGCCGGTGAATTGGCGATGCCTCGGCGATGCATCGGTGACGTCGGCGATGCATCGGTGACGTCGGCGACGCATCGGCGACACATCGGCGTCAAGAAATTCGGGCTCCACACCGCATCGCCGATGCATCGGCGACGTCGGCGCGATCCGCCGGCCCCATCTGCTGCTCTGACCCACCCGGGAAGACCAGACAGAAAAGGAAGGGTGGTGCGAAAACGCCGGGGCCTGGGCCCGGAGCGCGTACGCGTTCCCGTACACGGGGTCCAGCTGGAGGACCTGGGGCGCGCGTGCGGCGCGACAGTCTCGCTCGCCCTGGGGCCTGTCCCGAGCGACAAGGTTTGACCTGCTGCACTGTACCTGGTGACGCTAGGCCCCAGCTCTTCGCGATCCTGCTGTAAGCGCTAGGAAGCAACTCCTGGGAGGTCTTGGTAAAAACGTTAAAAGGCTGAAGAGCGCGGACCTGTAGCAAGACGGAGGCGCACCAAGAGTTCCAATAGTTCAAGCGTACCATGTTCGCCACCGGGGCAAGAAGCGTAAAAAACATCAGTTCCGCCCATCCCACGCTTGCCAGACCAAGCGTTATCGAATCCCACCAATCCTCTGTGCGTAGGTGGTTGAACTAATTTGTCTTCTTTCTCCCCAGAATTCCTTCTTCCCTTGCTTGGGGGAAGGATTCACAACTGTTCCCTATTAATATGCACCCCCTCCCACGCCCGACTGGCGGCCAACCTGGAACCATGCCAACCCCTATGAAGGCCACCCCCCACTAATCCCTGTCGAAAAAAACACTCTGCCTCCACATGTGGAGCACGCGCGGCCAACCCGATGCGCCCCCCCATCCACCACCCCTGTCAAAAAACAATGCAAAGTACACTTTGGGGCAAAGTCTTGCCCGCGAGCGGTTTGCATTGTTTTTCGAGGGGCGACAGGGGTGTCAGCAGATTCCCTGCTGTGCGCAGGGCTACACCATCCCTGACAGAAAACAATACAAAATGCACCTCGCGGCTAAATCTGGATCATGCGCGGCCACCCCTCGATCACTGTCAAATGGTTTTTGACAGGGACGGTGGGGGTGGTGGCGCGTGGCCTGCTGTGCGCAGGCCCACCAGACACAATGATGGGCATTGGTTTCCGACAAGGACGGTGAATGCCGATATGTTTGCCGATGTGTGCTTTCACGTGCGCAGGCGCACCTGACGCACTCTGCACGTGCCCTGAACGTGGCGGACCTGGCGCGGCTGGAGTGTGCGGCACACCTGGCGCACTCGGAGCACGTGGCGCATCTGGCGCACAAGGCGTGCCTGGCGCGCTCGGGCCCCAGGGGTGCCTGGCGCGCGTGGCGCCCCTGGCACGCGTGGCGCACTTCGCCCAAGCGTCGCGCACCTGGGGTCGGCGTTGGTTCCCAGTAGCTGCCCATCCACAGACGGCCGCTGAACAGACTCAGGCTCGGGAGTTACCTATGTGTTGGGAGGGCGGGTGGGAGTGAGCTAGACGGCTTGCGGGCGTGTGGGCAGCTTGACCCCTCCCCCTACCCACCACTCTCCTGGCCCCGGGCCTGCGAAGGGGGGGGGGGGGGCGCAGGTAGTTAGAGCGTCCAAGACGGCCCAAGATGGCTCCAGGAGGGCCTCATAGACCCCAGGATGGCCTCGAAGATGACTCAAGAGAGATCAAGGCGGCTCAAGATGGCCTCCAGCACACATCCAAAATGCCTGAAAACGGCCCCAAGACAGCTTCAAGTGCCCTCTGAGCCCTCCAAGGACCCCCCAAGAGGCAAAAATGGCTCCCAAACCCAAGGAACATTGAGGAGTTTTGCCTTCTCGCCTTTTCGCTTCCGATGGGCCTCGGGGGCATCAAGATGGCCCCAAGATGGCCCAAGAGAGTTCCAGTAGAGACCCAAGAGGGCTCCAAGTTGGCCCCAAGAGCGCCCCAAGACGACCCCAAGACGCTATTTGTGAGCCCGGGGGGGGGGAGCTGAATTTACGAGCCCCTCTCGTTTTGAACAGTGAGCCCAAAATTGTCTCAAGAGGCCTCCCAAACACACGAAAAGCCCCGAGAGGGCCGCCATACCCAACAGAAAGCCACAAAATGGCCCCGAGAGTGCCCCAAGAGCTCCGCGACGACCCCAAGAGAGACCTAAGAAAGCTCCTGGACCTCCGAGGAAACACTTCCAACGCGGTTCTTGCACTGGATGAAGCAATTCGCCTGGCGATCTGTGTCGGGATGGGCTGGTGGGGATACGCGAAGCGTCAAGAATTGGCAACTTCGCTTGCGTTTGGACCCGTAGGGTGCTCGTCTCGCATTCGTGTCATCGTATGATTGGTATTCGTTTTTGTTGTCGAAAGTAAGCTCTCAGTACTCTCGGTCTCAGGTGGTGGTAATTATACCACCCTTGAACGGCATACCACCCTTGAACGGCATTCTTTGATCTCGCGATAAAAATCTAGTGAACCCAAAGAAGCAGCCAGGGGGGTATATCCCTGATGCCAAAAATACCAACAATGTCTACCAATAACACCAAGAAAGCAAACCAATACTGCATATCATACCACCTCAAAGTACCATAACCAACCGTACAAAGTGCTCCCGAGATGATACACGCGTTCAATCGTCATAACAATGGTAATTGGGTGTCTCGGGACAAGGCTTTTGAACTCTGAGTGTTGCGTTCTTGGTCAGACCTCTGGCTGACTGTCAGTCAGCGCCCTTCCAACAAAAAGGGGCCGTTGAGCCTGACCAGGCAAGACACAACCCAGAACTAGTTCGGATTAGGCTGGGTCAAGCGGGATGAATCAGAAGTTCTTCAATTTCGGCCGTATTCGGCTTGCTTTAGCCAGACTCGAAGACAATTGTACCCGGGCCGATGCTAAAGTTGAAACCTCCCACGGTTGCATGTTGCGCTTCTGAGGAGCATTCAATGACTGGTGATGGCAGAGCGGATTAGAGCCAACAAACAAACTGACCATGTTCGTTTCGTTCTGCTCTCGCATAAACCCCTCCGCATCTGAGGCCTCGGCCGCGCTTAGCTGTCGCCTCGCGCGCTTTCCCGCGTTTCCTTTGCCTAATTAGTCTCTGCGTAGCCCGCGTTGACCTGACTCGCCGCCGGCGCGCTCGCCCGCAGCCGCTGACTAAAAATAAACCCCTCCGGCCTGCGAGCAGCAGCCCCCGACCCAGACCGAAGGGTAAACACTTGCATCCAGGTGAACGGTTGCGCGTCTTGTCTTGTCGCGCGAGGGCGAGTCCCAGCGCCCTCGGGGGGGAGAGCGGCGTGGCGGGCGGCGCGGAGCGGGGGGCTCCCCCGGGGGTGAGGCTCTTGGAGGCCTGCTGGCGGTCTCGGGGGCCATCTCAGGGCGAAGGGCTCGAAATGTCAGTTCGTGTTCCCCCTCTGGAACCTCCCTCGGGGCCCTGCTGGGCCGCCTCGGTGGCTTCTGGGGCCGTTTTGGGGCCACATTGGGCCGTCTGGGAGCGATCTTGGGGACCTCTTGGGCCGACTTGGCGCGCCCAAAGCCCGGAAAAAGGCGAGAGCACTACAATCCTACCAAGATCTTTTTGGAATCTCGGGGAACCTTTGGGGGCCTCTTGGTGCCCTCTGAAAGAGTCTTGGAAGCCTCGTGGGCCGCCTCTGGGCCATCTTGGGCGTCTTGGAACGTCTTAAACCCTATTGGCCCGTCATGGGGGCGTTCGGGCCGCTGGAAAACTCAAGCGGAACAATCCGACAGTGTGCGGGACCGCCCAGAAAGTTTTGGATGTTGGGCCCCCCTGTCCCTAATTAGAATCTGTTCTCAAAGTGTGTTTGCAACTCGACGCTCTTCCTTAAGAATGAAAGACTAACCATGACGGCCGGTCTGGCGGCTACGTTGCCGCCGTCGCCGCCCCGTCGCCGCCCGTCGTCTGGGCCTGACGGTCGGTGTGGCGACGATGTTGCCAATGTCACCGCCCCGTCGCGGCCTCGTCGCCGCCCGTCGTCTGGATCTGACGGTCGCTCTGGCGACAATGTTGTCGCCGTCGCCACCTTGTCGCCGCCCTTCGCCGCCTCGTCGCCGCCTTCGTCACCACCGGTCGTCTGGGCCTGACGGTCGGTCTGGCGGCCATGTTTCCGCCGTCGCCACCTCGTTGCCGCACAACATAATTCCCTTTGCAAATCAAAAAATAAGATCTGCCCCCCCCCTGGGATGATCGCCCCCTCGGGATCTACAAAATATACACGTTCCCGCCCGCTCGCCCACTCAAAAATTTTGAGTCAAAAATGCGAACTCAAACCATCCCAGTCCAGCCGGCATCGACCCCCCATCCTTTTGCGACAAAAGTGCATTTCGCGCGTTCGTTTTTGTTATACGGCCGCAGTGTCCGAAATCCATGGCGACAGTGAGACGACAGGCACACGCGCGCAACGTCGCGCGCGCATGCCGGATCCTTTTCCAAAAACATGGACCTCGCGAGAATATCAAAATCGAACGTCACGAACCCATCTTGAAACACATGGTTTGGCAACGCCACTTCAAAACAAAGTGTGCGCGAGCCCTTGCAGACTGTTGGCACAACCGTGACCAAAATATTCACCACATGCAACTTAACGGGTCCCCTCGCGCGCGCACGTCGAAATCAATCGAACGCCCTTTGCGCGCGTGTGGGGGGATATGGTCCATGTCAAAATATCCCACGCGGGGCACTCGCGCCCGTCAGCCGCGCGTGCATGTCGAAATCCTCCCAAAAGCTTCAAAACCGACGTGTGGACACCATCATCGTCGCCGGCGTGAGCAAGATCGGCGCCGTCATGGCCTTGCCGCCGTCATCGTCTTCGTCGCCACCAGTACCATAATACTCGGCCGTTGACGACGTCGCCGGGATGCCGCGCCCGCCCGAATCACCGACTCGCTTTGGAGTGCCCTTGCGTCAGCGCGGCCTGCGAGACGTGATGGGAAGTGCTCAGCGGTCAGCGCCACCGCGGCCGCGGCGGTCGCGCCAGACTAGCTGGCCGTCTTGCGCGCTAGCCTGCGCGCACTAGCGCGGCCTCTGCGGATGTGCATACCAGCGCCACGCAGGCATCATAATTGCCGCCTCATGGGTACTGCAAACCAATTTGCGGTTGGATGGGTAGCTGGGGCGGTTGCGCGGTCGGTGGAGTTGGCAACCCACCGCGAACAAACATTAATTGTACCACATAGGCTGCACCTCATAAATGGTACAACATCGGTTGCGCCACGTCGAATGCCCGGCATGGGATGCGCACCACATAGATTGGCTCACAACGATTACACAGCATAGGTTGTACACCATATAATGCACCACATAGCTTGCCCACCATATTCCCACCAGCCCTTCGGGCGTGAGTGGTTTAGCGAGCTCTCTCTGTCCTCAACCCCCCTTCTCCCCCTTCGGGGAGGGGTTTACCCCTCCCCCTACCCCCTCCCCCTGGGCCTGGAGAGTGGGCCCGGCGGGTCGTCAGGGGGGTCAATTTCGACTCCTGGGAGGGCTAAAAAACGACGACCCTCACGAGGATTCTGGCCCCGACGGGGGGACGGAGATAAGTCCCTCTCCTCTTCTGTGAAGCCACAAACATTGATTTTACTAGGGTTTTGGCCCCATTTTTGACTTCTGAGGGGGCAGCGCTCATCGTCCTTCATAGCAAAATCATTGATTTTACGACGGTTTTGGCCTCATTGTGTCCTTCTCAGGGGGTAGCTCTTCTTTGCGCTTCTGAGAGGTCGCAAGAGGCCCCAAGATGGCCCCAAGAGGCCCCCAGGAGGCTCCCAAGAGGCCTCCAAGAGACCCCCCAGAGGCCCCCAAGCGGCCCCAAGAGGCCCCCAAGAGGCCCCCAAGAGGCCCCCAAGAGGCCCTAAGAGGCCCCAAGAGGCCCCCAAGAGGCCCCCAAGAGGCCCCCAAGAGGCCTCCAAGAGGCCCCAAGAGGCTCCAAGAGGCCCCCAAGAAACCCCACGAGGAGCCCGAACGACTCACACCAGGACGAGGGGCCCGAACGACTCACACCACGAAGAGCCCGAACGACTCACACCACAAGGAGGGGCCCGAACGACTCACACCAGGACGAGGCGCCCGAACGACTCACACCACGAGGAGCCCGAACGACTCACACCACGACGCGGGCCCCGAACGACTCACACTACTACCACTTCTACCTCTACAATTACTACTTCTACGCATGGTGGTACGGCCACTACTACTACCAGTACTACTACTACGACTACTACTATTCGACACCCCTCACGAGGATTCTGGCCCCGACGGGGGGGGGGAGAAAAGTGCTCGCCCCATCTGTGATCGATCGCCCGACAGATGGCCCCAAGATTCCTCCCAGACCCCTCCCAAAGAGTCCCAAGAGGCCCCAAGAGGCCTCCAAGAGGCCCCCAAGATGCCCCCAAGAGGCGCCCAAGAGGCCCCAAGAGGCTCCCCCGAGGCACCCAAGACGCTCCTGGAAGCCCCTGGAGCCGCCAAGAGGCCCCCAAGACGCCCCAAACGGCCTCCAAGAGGCTCCCAAGAGGCCCGAAGAGGCTCCCCCAAGGCACCCAAGACGCTCCTAGAAGCCCCTGGGGCCGCCAAGAGGCCCCGAAGACGCCCCAAAAGGCCTCCAAGAGGCTCCCAAAACGACTCACACCACGACGAGGGCCCCGAACGACTCACACCACGAGGAGCCCGAACGAGTCACACCAGGAGGAGGGGCCCGAACGACTCACACGACGACGAGGGGCCCGAACAACTCACACCACGAGAAGCCCGAACGACTCACACCAGGACGAAGAGCCCGAACGACTCACATCACGAAGAGCCCGAACGATTCACACCAGGAAGAAGGGCCCGAACGACTCACACCAGGACAAGAAACCCCAAACGACTCAAACCACGAGGAGCGCTTTCTCTCCCTCCTCCTCCGCCTCGTCCTTCTCCCGCTCCCACCACAAGGAGGATGTACAAGGAGGCGGGAGGAAGGAGGAACAGGGGAGATATGTGGGGGCAGGCGGAAACACGCCTGAAAAACACGACTGTCGGCATGCTTCGCAAGAGTTGCTGTTTTGAGATGGGCTGGTGGGGATACGCGAAGCGTAAAGAAATTGCATAACATGTAGTGCACCCAGTACATTGCTCCACACACGTTGCCCAGACATCTGGCATGGACTCACTGGTTGGGGTCCACGCTGACCAACCTATACTGAGTACAATATGCAGACAACCCTTCTAGCAAGGGGAACACTCCGCTTCGTGCCTCGGGGCACGGCAACGGATACACATATGCGTGCGCGTTCGCGGGTTTGAGTTTGCGTGCGAGTATGTTTCCGCGCGGCGATGAGTCTGCATGTGCGACTGCTGGAGTGCTGGAGAAACTGCAGCCGAGCAAGAAGATAGTCACGAAAAGTGTGTACACCATGTCACTGTAAGCTGTGTGCATATGCGCCAAAAGATGTACGTGTACACTCGCATTCCCGTACTGCTCAAGACCAACCATACCCCCCCGCAGCACCCTCCCCATCCTGGTGCTCGTCTTCCTCCCCATCATGATCACTATGTCTTCTCCCCCCTGTTCCAAACATCTTCCCACTCCCCCATCTTCCTCAACCTCCACCTCCGCCTCCGTTTCCCGCTCCTCCCTCTTCCTGTTCTGCTTCCATCCTCACCCTGACCTCGTGCCTCAATATCTTCCCGATTCCCTTTGCATGCTCCTCTTCTTCTCCTTCTCCTCCTCCGGCTGGTCGTCCTAGTCCGAGAAGTAGGGGAAGTCGAGATGGAGAGGGGGGGAGATGACATCCTGCTGTTCCTGCTCCATATGCTGTCTCCCGCTCCCCTTTTCCTCTCCTTCTCCTCCTCCTCCGCATCCTCAACACAATCCGCCTCCCTCCTCAGCTTCCTTCTTTCCCCCCGTCTCCACAACCTCTCCTATACCTGTTTCGTCTGTCCTTCGGACCATAGCTCGGCCTCCAGGCGGCCATTCGGGAGACGAAAGTGATTGGAAACCACCAGTGCCCGAAACACCTCTAAGGCTAACATAAGTACTCAGATGGGAACATCAGGAAACCTGATCCTTCCGTTTTCTTTTTCGTTCTGTCTCCACTGTCTCCTCCTTTCCTCTCCGCCTGCCACCTCTCCCTGACACTCCCACCCGCACCTCTCCATAGGTGCGGTCTGAATGAACATTCCAAGGGAATGCATTCGCGGCGACGAGGGCATTGTTTGAGTCCCCCAAGAACAGTCATCCTCGGACCTCGAACCTCCCTCGACGACGACGACGACGATCTCCTCTCGTCGGCATGAGAGAATGGAATCCTAGTGGTCCCACCCCCCGACAGGTAGTTTGGTCAGCGTCTCGGCAGACCCAACCCTTCCCGACGCGGGTAATGCTGCAATCCCCGAACGAAGCCCGAAAATCTGTGGGGTTCTAGAGTACCCGCTAGTGAATGCCCATTCTGGCGCCGCTGAACTGGAAACGACTCCTGGACCACGTGTTTTTTTTTCCCAGGGACGCGTTTCATCCCGAGTTGTTTTGTTCACAATCTCGGGAGGATGGGATGGGCCCCGGGGGCCCGAAAACAGCGCAGAGTCTCCAGGACCCCCATCACAGAGAAAGCATGTGGACACAAACGCGGCAGTGACACACCGACGGGCTCCCAGAGCGGCGACGCGTAATTCATACTCTCTTACCCTCCCGATCCCTCACGGCGACCTCCAGGAATCGCTGGCATGACGGAAGTGGGTCCTGAGGCAAACGAGTCCTGGAACCCGCACCCGCTCCCCGAGACCAACTTCTCGTCCCGAATCGTCTTCTGATCGTCCGGGCGCCCGTGGAAGGCCCTGGGAGGCCAAACGCGAAGAGAAACCTTCGGACCTGCTGCCTTTTGGGACCGAGGCCCAGGAGGAGTCCCTCGCGGAACCTCGATCGGATGTTGCCAGGAGTGCCCTGGCCCAGAGTGCCCCCCAGGACTTCCAGGGAGGCCCCCCACGCCCCACGGCCTCCGGAGCGCCCGCCACGAGGCCCCGAGGGCCCCGGGGGCCCCCAAGCTGAGCGAACAGCTGGGGGCACCCTGGGGCCACCTTCGGCGGCCCCCGCCTCTACGGACCCCCCCCCCCTCTCTCTCTCCCTCCCTCGCGCCGGCGTCGGGGCACGGGCGCCGCCGCTCTGGGCCGCGCATGAGCGCGGGGGACTTGCCCCCGAACCAAGACGTCGGCGTGCCCGAGAGCGCTGCGGCCGTGGGCCCGAGCAGGCTCCAGCTCGGCTTCGCCAGCGAGGGATCTCGGAGCCCTGCCTGACTCGCACCGACCTGGCTCCCAGGGGCCCTGCGACGCGCGTGCGCGCGCGCGATCGCGGGCGCGCCAAAAGCCGAGCAGCCTCACCAGCATCGAGCTGATCCCCACCCTAACAAGCCCCGAGGCGCTGCCAACATGGGGAGTGCGCTCTCAGAAACAGAGGGAACCCTTCAGATCGACACCGAGGATAGTGATGTCGATCGTAAGGATACGGATCTATCTCGGGCTGGTACCGGCCGCGCGCCTTCGCGGCGGGAGAAGCCGACCATGGGGAGACCAACAGGTACCGAAACCGCTCCAGACCTCGCCCGGGGTGCGCTCCGACCAAAATTGCGAGGCGAATCCAGCGATGGCAACGAGGGCCTCCCAGGAGGCCCCAGAAGGAGCAAACGAGGGAAGGATAGCGGCATGGGTACGGTTTTCTCCTCTGGGAGCAGCCGCGCGCCCTCACGCGCGCGCGCGCGAGAAGCGGTGGGCGCCTTCGTGGCCTGATCCCGCGCCTCGGACCACCTGGCGGCCGGCCTCCTCGCCTCTCAGTCGCGATCCGCCGCCGCCAGCCCCCACATGTCTGTGGAGACCAGAAGGTACACCGATACCCCTACACCCCTGCTTGGATCCAGGCGTTTTCGAAAGCAGTAGTCCAGATCCAAATGCACGAACACTCTACAACAAAGAATCAAAGAACTACCCAAAGTCCAAGCAATATTCTCGATTTGCTTGAACGGAATCTGGAGTCCATGAACATGGTTTTCGGTGTTCTAAAGACTTGTGACGGGCGGACTCCGCAGACATCCCCCTGTGTGCGCTCTGCCCAAATTCTCGGTGGCGACGACGGCCTCCCAGGAGGCCCCCACAAGGCGAAAGCGAGACAGATTCAGCGGTATAGGTATTTTCCTCCTCTGAACTTCTCCTCGCAGAGCGCACCCTGAGATGCCCGAGCTCGGTGGTGGACATGCAGCGCCACCATGGCGACCAGGGAGGCACAAGACTGCGTGGAGCTTCCCAAGGGCCAGATCGCCAAAATCACCGGGGTCCGTGCGGAGAACATGGAGCACCCTCGGGGGACCGATGTTCACAGATGTCTCAAGGCTTGTCTTAGGCGTCGTCAGGGGGCCTCCGTCGCCTGTTGCCGCCACTGTTCCTCAACGGGGATCCAAATCCGTGTGAACTGCGCGTGACAAAACAAACTCCTCGACGGATCGAAGTCCAAGATCGAAGTCCCGGATCGATGTCCGGGATCGAAGTCCGTCTGAACTGCGCTCCTCGACGGGGATCGAAGGATGGCGATGCGTTCTGCGTGTCTTGGCATCCAGGGGCCCTCTTCTGGCTCCCGGACCGTCGGAAAGCACGGCTCCAGATCCTTGGTGAACTGCAAGCCTGCAGGAAAAGGAGTCGCAGCCCTGCGGGGCCCTCGCCACGGGAAGGCATGCGACGTGAGGGGAGAAGGATCAAGACCGTTGGACGTGCTCGTTGGTGTCGTGTGTTGTCTGTTCGTAGTTGGATTCCCCCTAGGAAGTGCTCGCACCAGGGGCTCCTCTTGTTGATGCATCGTTGGATGGGTGTGGTGAGGTTTCGCATGCTGGGCGCCCGAGAACGCCTCGTGGGCGCCCCGCGCGCTGGCTGGGTGTGTGGAGGCTTCGCCCGGTGGGCAGCCCTGGGGACCTCCTGTGCGCCTCGTGTGCTGGCCGGGTGTGCGGAGGCCTCCCGGGCGGGCGGCCATGGGCGCTTCGCGGGCGCCACGTGCGCCGGCGGAGGGTGTGTGGAGGCTTCGCCTGGCGATCGGCCGTAGGGGCCTCGCCGGCGCCCCCTGTGCTGGCTGGGTGCGTCGAGGTTTCCGCTGGTGGGCGGCCGTAGGCGCCTGGTGCTGACTCCACTGCACTGCTTGCGCCACGTAGCTTTCACCATTCTGCTCACAACTTCCGCCACGTAGCTTTCACCGCATAGCTTACACCACCGATCTTGCACCAAACATAGCTTGCGCCAATCTGCCTACACCATATAGAGTACACCACATCCCTCGCACCACAAATCGGTTGCACTACATCGCATGCAGCGCGCACATATGACACCACATAGGTCACACACCCAGAGTGCAAGCGCTTACTGTCAGGGGACCGTGGTGGCAAATTTCCCTTGTAACGCAAACTCTGGGAGAAGTATCGTCGCCACGACCAGATCCCCTCCAGGTGCTTGTCAAAAGCCTCTCGCTGAAGAAGGTCGACCTTCTGGGCGGGATGGGGCCTCCATCGCGACAAGGTCCTTCCGCCATTATCGAATCCCCATGGGCCCCTTCCGGTACCCCAAGGCCGTCGACGAACGACTCGGGGTACAAGAAGTGGTCGTGGAAAGGAAGGGGTTGCTCCAGAGGCACGTATTGTGACAGATCGGCGTCGGACTTCTGGGGACGAGGAGGTAGGAGGGAGGGACGATGAGGAAGGAGTAATACAAGATGAGGAAGGGATATGGGGATGGTAGGAGGACTGGGCAAAAAAAGATGTGCGCGGCGGAAGAATGGGAGGACGAAGACACGGAGAAGATAGTCCTCCTCACTCTTCTTGCCATTAACCGCATCCTGGTGAGAATCATCCCCTGGGGGAAAAAAAAACAAAAAGAAATCAGGGTCCAGGCGGGATAAACTACTTCCTGGAGATAATGCTTTTACGATGTCTGGATCGATCTTTCAGATCGGTCTCGAACAGCCTCCAACTCCGAACATGTGAAGTTAGCCTTGAACGCCCTTGCCAACAAATGGTATGCTCGTGACAATACCTGTTACAAAAACCACCGTCTTGTTTGAGACATCGGTGGCAAACTGATAGTAGCAAATCCGACGAATCTTCGAACTGACATGATAATAAAGAGTACGAATGGTGCGATGCGTGAGATGAAGATCCGAGCTGCGATAGGAACTTTGGAGGGGATGGTAAATTTCGGCCTCCCCGCCTGCTGCGGCAATTGAACCACATTGGACCCCGTGGATACAGAGATGCGAGGGTTAAGAGGGATATGCTCTATGATTCAGGGGGTGCGGTGGCCTGTCCTTCTCGGAAGAGCTTCGATGTATTTGTTTTCCGGATGGACGGCGACGGAGCGACGACCACGCAACATGGATAACCATATGTATATACCCTGGCATGCGGCATGAACACATCATATTATTTTGACATGCTGATATGGGCTGGTCGCCTGACCGCCGCAATGATGTTTGCCGCATCCACTGACCAGGTTTGGCTAAGCTACTACAGGGCCCTGTCATGTGACTGTTTATCGAAAAATCCTTTTGGGGGGGGGCTGCCGCCTGACGACGCATGAGCTGCTGGGGTAAATCCCCTTCTGACCCGAACTGAGAAACATCTTACGCAGAGGGTCCTATAAACTGGCAATCATGAGAAAGATGCCTTGCACAGGTTGCAGTGAGGCCACACACGGAAAATTGTCTGAACCCGACTATGGTCGCGCTTGTGTCCATCCTTCGCTCATGTGGCACCGGTCCCACTCTCGCATCAATTCCTCTTGTTTCCCCCTCCTGCTCCTGCTGCTTCTCGTCATTCTCCTGGCCCTCCTCAGGATCCCTCCTCCTTTTCCTGCTCCTCCTCCTTCCCCCCCTCCTCTTCCTCCTCCTCTCTCCCACTCTCCCATCTCGTCCCCCCCCCGCTTCAGCTGGGAGCCCGGGGAGCCCCTGAGTGGTCGCTGCCGCCTGCATCGGCGGGGTAGAAGTCAGGCCGGGAACCAGGCCGCAGGACTGGCGGAACTTGGTGGAGGGGCCTGGTCGACCAGGCCCTCCGTGGGGCGGCAGCCCTGGGGGTGGGTGGGTTTGGGCTCTTCCCCCCGTGTACCAGGACCCCCTCGGCGTAGAGTCCCCAGGCCTGGTTCGGCGCCCGCGCAGACGGCGCGTCCCCTCGGGGGACGGGGTGGCGCGGGATCCCTTGGGCCTGCGACGCGCGCCCGCAGGGCGTGGCACCCGCCGCATGTGCCGAGGGCGCGGCCGGAACAGTGTGCGGGGGAGGCCGCCTGCTGTCGTAGGGGCCCCTGGCCTCCAAGGCGATGCGCCGCACGGCGCTGCCAGTGCGGCCCACACCGCCTTCCGGCGCTTTGGCCCCTGGCTGCCCTACTACACAGGGGGGGTGCTGGGGCTGGGGCCAGCTGGGGGCTACTTTGGCGCGGGGCCCTCCGATGCTTGGCCGTGCCTTCCTGGAGGGGACTCTTCGTGTAGGGGTGGCACGGGATCACGGCGCCATTGTGCTCACGGAGCTTTTGGGCGTCTTCTCTGCGTTATCCGTATTACCCTCCCATCTCGTCCTAATCGTCCTCCTGCGCGCGCGAGAGCCCTCGTGGGTGGGGAGAGGGGGGCAGGACGAGGGTGGAGGACGGTGCCGAAGAGGAGAAAACAATTATCCTGGCGAAGGACCCATCCATATGCAGTTGTGAATACCGCAATTGTGAATACCATCTTCGCCCGCGCTCCCTATGTGGCCACGGCTTCCCGCCGGAGCCCGACATGCTCAGGGACACGTTCGTGGCCGTCTTCGCGGGCGCCGACGACGACAAGGACGGCGTCCCTCTCACCGAGGAGCAGAAGCAGGAAAGGGCCTTGAGAGCCATGAGGGAGGAGGTGGCGTTGCACGTCGACAGGGCGGAGTACGACGCCCAGGCGCGGTTGTTGAAGCACCACAACTATGGGGCCACGATCCTCGTGAGGGGTGAGCCGAAATGGCCCGGGGCCGCCATGCGAACCCTGCCACTGGCGCCTTCGGTGGAGCTCCAGTGGGGCCACGGTCCTCGTGAGGGGTGTGCCGAAATGGCCCGAGGCCGCCATGCGAACCCTGCCACTGGGGCCTTCGGTGGAGCTCCCTATGGGGCCACGATCCTCGTGAGGGGTGTGCCGAAATGGCCGAGGCCGCCATGCGAACCCTGCCACTGGCGCCTTCGGTGGAGCTCCCTATGGGGCCACGATCCTCGTGAGGGGTGTACCGAAATGGCCCGAGGCCGCCATGCGTGTGCCGAAATGGCCCGAGGCCGCCATGCGAACCCTGCCACTGGCGCCTTCGGTGGAGCTCCCTATGGGGCCACGATCCTCGTGAGGGGTGTGCCGAAATGGCCCGAGGCCGCCATGCGAACCCTGCCACTGGGGCCTTCGGTGGAGCTCCCTATGGGGCCACGATCCTCGTGAGGGGTGTGCCGAAATGGCCCGAGGCCGCCATGCGAACCCTGCCACTGGGGCCTTCGGTGGAGCTCCCTATGGGGCCACGATCCTCGTGAGGGGTGTGCCGAAATGGCCCGAGGCCGCCATGCGAACCCTGCCACTGGCGCCTTCGGTGGAGAGCCCCTTTTGGGGTGGAGCTCCCTATGGGGCCACGATCCTCGTGAGGGGTGTGCCGAAATGGCCCGAGGCCGCCATGCGAACCCTGCCACTGGCGCCTTCGGTGGAGCTCCCTATGGCCACGATCGTCGTGAGGGGTGTGCCGAAATGGCCCGAGGCCGCCATGCGAACCCTGCCACTGGCGCCTTCGGTGGAGCTCCCTATGGGGCCACGATCCTCGTGAGGGGTGTGCCGAAATGGCCCGAGGCCGCCATGCGAACCCTGCCACTGGGGGCTTCGGTGGAGCTCCCTATGGGGCCACGATCCTCGTGAGGGGTGTGCCGAAATGGCCCGAGGCCGCCATGCGAACCCTGCCACTGGGGCCTTCGGTGGAGCTCCCTATGGGGCTACGAAACGCTGTGCTGGGTGGGTGAAACGCAAGGAGGAGGGGGAGGAGGAGAGGAGGAGAGGAGACGCGGGCCACCGTCTCTTCAAAACGAGGACCCAACACCACAGGATGGTTGGGAATAAAAACAAACAGATAGTATCAACGGCCATCAACCCGCGGGATGGTGGGCGAGGCCACCCCTAAGGAGGGTCGAAAGCCCTCGGAAGCAGAGCGAGGAGAGAGCTTCGCCTGTTTCGTTGAACCACGCGCAGAGTCTGGCACGCAATGACGCCGTGCCACGTGCAGCCCGGGTGTGGCGGCAGGCTGGCAAACATGGACGATGCGCACACCGCACAGCCCAGAGAGAGGAGCAGTGAGGGAGACGGCCAGGAGGAGGATCTGCAAGTGCTTCTCGCAGATCCTTATTGGCTCCCTCCTCGCCCGATCCGCCTGCCATCCACCATCCCTCGGCTCAGGCTGCCGAGGGCTGGCGATCACCCGCCCGCGTTCCGCCCGTTTGTTGCGAGGGTGGCGCGACAGGCGGACTCACCCGATGAGTACAGGGAGAGAGAGAGAGAGAGAGAGAGAATGAGAGAATGAGAGAGAGAGAGAGAGAGACAGACTGGGGAGGAGGGAGGCAGGGGAGCAATCAGACCTTCCCCACCCTGATCCCCCCACACCTGTACGAGAAGGACTTGTTTGAACATCGGCAAGAGGGCCCATTCCTCCAAAGGCGAAGGTCATGACCTGTCAAGGGGGGGGCACGCCTGTCGGTCCTGTGCAAGGCCCTGGCGAGGTTGTACCGCAGCCGCACCAAGTTATTGCGCTGGCTCTCCGCTGGGCGCCGAATGCGCTGGGGCGCGAGGGACGGAGTTCAAGGATCGGGTTTCGAGGGCCTAGAATTTGAATGTCGGCGCTCCGCAAGGGATCCCATGGCTGGATTCGCCTTGACATTCCGGACAGGACGCACCCCAGGATGGGTCTGGGAATCCATTTTCGGAGGAGGGCCTTGCAAGTTTGGGCGTCGCAAAAACCAATCGCGACAGCCAGATTTGTCCACGTTTTCGGACTCTGGAGGCCGACTCCCAGCTCCAGAAAAATCAGAATACGAGAAGTTAGACGATCGACTGAAGAACCAATTTCCCCCGACATTGCATTCAATCGTCGATTGTACGAGGAATATGTCGCATGTCCGTAGACATACGAACACTAGATTCGACGAAAACGCAATAATTCTGGGGCAAGTCAACTCTGTAGTCGATCTCCTACTCGAAGAATGCGATTCGGAGTGAAACGTCGTCGGCCTCGGGGAACGTGTCGAGATATCCCAGAGGGCCCACGAAACAAACAAATGCGCCGTCGGGAGGGAGGATTCGGTCGCTCCGAGAGGGCCGTGCTGCGCCAAGTGGAGGGCCCTCCAGACCGATATGTAAACCGATCATCAAGAGCGGGCTAACGGCGTGGTAGGTTAACGGCATGACAGGGAATCTGGTTTGTGACATCGGGAGGGCGCAGAAACAAGAGTAAACGACTACGAGCCACGCGCTCCGGCATACAAAATATGCGAACGTATCGAACGACAACGAGACGGCGAACTGCAGGACAGCGCGAACCGCGCTTCCCTCCAATTGGCCCGGCCACGGACCGATCCCACCTACACTGCCGAAGCCTAGGACGCCGTTGCGCAGAACGCCGTTGGCCCCCACCTGCGGGATCGGGGCCACTCGGCGCCTCCACTGAAATCTGAACTCCACGGCCCTGGTGATACATTCTTCTTGCGCTCCTGGGGGTCTCTGCTCCGCTGCCCCTGCAGTCCGCGCCACAATGGAGGTAACGCGAGGCTACCCCACTGCCGTGCGAGGCTGCGGACGAGGGCCCAGTGGTGCCACAGCTGAGTGAGCAAGAACATCATCGAGGACACATCTCCATCGGGGAGCCCACCAGCGCGCTACTGATGCTAAAGAAAAGCACCAGGCTTTCGACGCACGCGAGGGAGTAACACGCTGACGGGCTCCCAACGGCCTGCCATTGAGAAGCATCGGTCGTCATGGTGATCGTTGCTTCTGGCACGCTGGAGGCAGGCATGGGCTCTCTGGCCACAAGCTGGGACATGGGGGAGACTTTCATTGTTTTACTCTGGCGGATCCTTGAAGCCTCCACGAGTATGCGGGCGAAGTGTCTCTGACCCAGGCCTCGGGAGGGACGCATGGCCCAATTTGCCACTAACATCGTGAGACACGGCCAGGACGTGGAGAAGGAGGACGATGATGGGGAGGACGAAGAGGGGAAAGAGGGAGCGAATGGCGGCAGCGAGCGTGCTCCCAGGCCCAACACGAAGCTCTGAATGTCATATTGTGTGGTGTGCCCTGTAGCCCTGCCGGCCACACCGGAAAATCCAACACCGCAGTAAGTCGACAGGGAAAAAACAGGAAGGGCGAGGACGACGAAGAGGAGGGGGCAAGCGGCGGCAGCGTTCGTACCCCTGGGCCCCAAGTTGAGCTCAGGGTCTCACGTTGCGTGGTATCCCCTGATGGCCCCGCTGGGCACGCATCATAAACAAGCACAACAAGAAAAACGAAGGAGAAACATGAGGAGGAAGAGGAACTGCAACGAGCAGCTATACCAGCGCGGGGTATTCGAGGCCTCCGCGGCCCATGAGAGGAAGGGAGGGCGGCAACCAAGCAAGGCAGGGGGGCAGACGGCAGACGAGCAGGTGGCGGGGAGCACGGCTGCGGGGTGTGAGCCACCAGCCCCGCTGTCAGGCACACGTGCGCGGGGGCGGGCGGGGGCCGGTCAGGGGGGGGGGGAGGCGTCGGTGGCCTAGGGGGAACTCGGCGAGACGACGCTCCTGGAGAGCAAACCAGGGGCCCGAGCACTTACAAGAAACCTAACAAAAGCAAACTTCGAACACATCGGGATGAAGGCAGAGGGAGCAGGGTTCAAAAGTAAGAGACTGAGGTGAAGACGGAGTCTGAGCACGTTTTACATCTATTCATCTCGCAACACCTACCTCTAGAAACAAGGCATTTCTTGTACCGGCGCTGAGGTCTCCCCCTCCACAGCGAGCGAAGCGCGCCAGGGACGCCGCGGGAGGGGCCACCAGGGGGTGCCCAGCGTGGAAACAACACGCTCGAACCTCCAAACGCTTATCCGTACGCCGTCTGTTCTCCCCCGAATCCAATCAGGGTCTGGAGAGCGCCAGATTCAGATGGAGCGCCACATCTTTCCTTCGCTGACTACCAATGGCTGTAAGAAACACAAAGAGGCCGGCGGCCCTAAAATGAATAAATGGTCCTGAAGCATGTTAACTGAGCAAGGGCACCGCACGCGTCTCAAGAATGGCCACCCGCAGTCATGGAAAGGTCAGTGTGAGGTGTGCTGGAAGGTCTTCTGATGACCAACGTTGCTTATGCCAAGAGCTCTACCTGCACCCAAGGGCGGCCTGTGAACGTCTCGCCCGGGCCGCTGTCCCCCGGAAGGCCGTCGGCCCCCTCGCGCGGGCGCGGGCGCGCGGGGGGGGCCGGCGGCGGGACCCGCACGGGGTGGAGATCGCGAGCGAAGAACAGATGTGCGCCGGCACAGAGGCTCGACGTCGGCGCTGCTCGGAGGGGCGAGAGCCCCATTTCTTGCTTCGGCGCACCCCGTACACGTGTCGTGGCCCCAGAGGGAGCTCCGCCGAAGGCTCCAGTGGCAGGGTGGGTTCGCAAGGCACCGCCGCCTCCATTTCGACACACAACTTACATGTTTCGCGTGCCCATCGGAAGCTCTACCGAAGACCCCAGTGGCAGGGTTCGCATGGCACCGCCGCCTCCATTTCAGCGCACCACTTACGCGTTTCGTGGCCCCATATGGAACTCCGCCGAAGGCCGCCTTGGCAGGATTCGCACGGCACCGCCGCCTCCTTTTCGGCGCACCCCTCGCACGTTGCGTGGCCCAGTATGGAGCTCCACCGAAGGCGATACTCACAATTCCCGCATTCACAACTGCATATGGTGGGTCCTTCGCAAGGATCATGGTTTTTTTTCCAACCCTCCTGTGTTGGGTTCTCGTTTTGAATAGAACAGTGTGGTCTCCACCCTCCTTCTCCCGCCTCCCCTCTCCTCCCCTCCTCCTTCTCTCCTGTTTCCTGTGTTCCCCTCTCCTCTTCGCTCGTGCCGTCGGGCTGCGATCTGCGCAATTGTAGCCACTTTCGTGGGATCCTGCTGGGAGGCCCACACCTCGGGACCTCGCCGCCCCCTGGGGGGCTTACGATCTGCTCAACCGTCGCCACGTTCGTAGGCTCCTGGGAGGCCCAGCGGAAATAACTCCCACGCGGTGGCTGGATGTTCCTGCTTATCCTCGAGGCCTTGATCTTTTGCTTCCACGTTTGGGTTCTTTCGTTGGGTTCGCTGCCGCGCCCTTTTGTCTCCACTTTTGGGTGAGTCTCCGCCCCGTTATGCACCTCATGCATTTGCCTCTTTCAGCGCAGCGAGTTGCTGAGTTAAACTGATGTTCTGGTTTAGCCCTCGCCGCCTCGGCGTTTGTGTGTCTTTCAACGCCCTAGTGGTTCCATTTTGTATGCTTGCGGTTCCTCTTCTTGATGCTCTCTTCTGATTTCACTCCTGAGTGCTCTTCTTGCGCACTGCGGGTCCTCCATAATGCCAGTCAGCATTGAGTGGTCCTGAATATAAGCGCCACGTGTTCAAAAAAGGGTTGGGTACGTCGCAGGGTAATTGGTTTCTCTCTCTCTCTCTGTCTCTCTCTCTCACTCTCAACAACAAAAAGCAAGATATATATATATAGAGAGAGAGAGAGAGCTGCAGAACACATGATTTGTTTGGTTGTTCTGCATGGATGCTGCCCTTGCTGGGAGGGCCTCCCATGGACCTGGCAATCAACGCGAAATTTCTCCTCCCCGTCGATCTCTACTCATCCTCTTCCCCCTCCTCCGCCATACACCCCCTCTACCACGCCCACCTTTCCGCACACTCACCAGATTCATTAGCGGTGGCCCCTTGCAGTCTGGCGGCCTCCCTTCCCCGACTTGCAGCGTCTTGTGTCGTAGACAAGCCACGCGGTCAAGACAACGCAGGGCATTAGCCCTCGATCTCATCTTTGTGCAGCCCTCTCGGGCCCGAACGATTTATGCGTTTCCAGGGGTCCGACGCGGGGGGGGAGAAGACGCATTGTGGCGTTTTCGCGTAGCCCGGCTGTCAGGATCCTCCTCCGCGGGTGGGGTTTCGGGTCAAGCCGCGGGCCTTGAGCGGTCGGTTGGGACGGCCCTGGCCTTGAACTCCAACAGCTAAGCCATCCCAAGAGACTTCCCAAGGGATGCACAAAGACTTGGCAACCCACAAAGTGACTAGGCATTCGATCATGGACCGCTTGTTGAACGCAACCATGCAAATTTTGTTCCGAAAGCCGCAAGAAGCCGCCAACAACCGCCTGAAATCGACGAAGACCGCCGAAGACCGACAGAAAGCCACCGAGGACGGTACACGAACGATGGGTCACAAGGGTCCATGGCCGAACACGTAGCCGAAGACTTGACCTTCCAGAGACAACCCGAGCCCACACAGAGATGTCCAACTAAATGCAACCGAGTACCCACACACCACCTCCTTCCCAAGCCTCCCCGCAACCCCCCGCCTGCCAGCTCCTGTTCGCACCGGAAGCATGAGGCAGCAGTGGGAGGAGGAGAAGCCTGCTTGGGCGGGCAGCACTGCTCTAAACTTGGGGGCAAGGGAGGAGGATGACGACAACGAGGGGGAGCTCCTCCTCCTTCTCCTCCTAGCCCCCCTCATCCCCCTCCTCCCTCCCTCACGGGCGTCCGATGCCATCATTTGTTTGATGCGTGTGCCGCGGAGCTCCCGACGACGTTCAGGCGGCCTGCAGACAACTTCCTGGGGGCAGAAGGACCAAGACTGGCGAACATCCGCCACTCCCCTTGGCGTGCTGCATGGATGCTTGGTGTCTCAAGTTGTCGAATTCGCGTTAGACATTTGAGAGAGGTTCCCAGCGACCTCTGGCCCAACCCGCCAGTCACCCAGGCGAGCCCCAAAGGTGCACAACGCCCGCATGCAGACGGCCAAGATGGCCCAAGTTGGCCCCCAAGATGGCCTCGCAGACGGCCCAAGACGGTCCAAGAGTCCAAAAGTCTCCCCCTCGCCCAACATGCTTCCAGGACTGCCTGAAAACGTTGCCAGACGGCCGCAAGACAGTGCAGAAAGCCCCAAAGACACCCAAGGGGGGTCCGAGATACCTTCCATGAAGGACCGAAACTGTCAAAACCACGCATGTCCTAATTGCTGCCACCCATGTTGTGATGTTGGGCCCTCGTTTTGAAGAGGCAACGCCCCGCGTTCTCCTTCCGCTACCCCTCCTCCCTCCTCCAATCCCTGCCTTTGCCACCCGCACCCGTCAACCATGTCGGCACACCCTCACAAGGTTCATGATCCCACAAGGAGCTCCACCCACGGCCCCACAAGGTGCCCCACCAAGGCCCCACGGTACACCCCTCACACACTCATGTAGGTACACCCCTCACACGCATCATGGCCCCACAAGGAGCTCCACGAAGGCCCCACGGGCACACCGTCCACATGCGTCCGCGCCACCAATTTCGGCGCACCCCTCACACGCTTCGTGGCCCTGTAAAAGGACTCCACCCAAAGCCCCAGCGGCACCGTCAACACGCATCCGCGCCACCCATGTCGGCACACCCCTTACACGCTTCGTGGCCCCATAGGGAGTTCCACCCAAAGCTCCACAGGCACCGTCCACACGCGCCCGCCCCCTCCCATTTCGGCATACCCTTCACACGCTTCGTGGCCCCATAGGGAGCTCCACCCAAGGCCCCAGTTGCACCGTCCACATGCGTCCGCGCCACCCATTTCGGCAAACCACTCGCACGCATCGTAGCCCAATAGGGAGCTCCACCGAAGGCCTCAGAGGCACCGCCCACATGCGCCCGCTCCACCAATTTCGGCGCACCCCTTTCACGCTTCGTGGCCCTATAGGGAAGCTCCACCCAAGGCCCAGGCGGCACCGTCCACATGCGTCCGCGCCACCTGTTTTGGCAAACCACTCACCCGTTTCGTGGCCCCATATGGAGCTCCACCGAAAGCCCCAGGTGGCACCGTCTGCGTCGGCTCCACCAAGTTCGGCGCACCCCTCACACGCTTCGTGGCCCTAGGGGGAGCTCCACCCAAGGCCCAGGCGGCACCGTCCACATGCGTCCGCGCCACCTATTTCGGCATACCCCTCACACGCTTCGTGGCCCATAGGGTTCGCACGCGTCCGCGCCATTGATTTGGGCACACCCCTCACACCTCACACGCTTCGTGTCCCCAAAGGGGGCTCTTGCGAAGCCGGTGCTCACAACTGCGGCAGTCACAACTGCACATGGTTGGATTCTTCGCCAGGCTAGTGCTTTACGGGATGTTGCGTTACAGCCTTCTTCTGGCTCCGGGAAGCCCAAACAGGACCGAGGGTTTCCAAGATGGCCCCAAGACAGGCCCAAGAGGCCCCCGAGAGGACCCAAACGGTGCCCCAGTAGCAAGCGTTATCTTTTTCCTTGTCCTGCCGATCGGCGCGGGCGGGCCCACTCCCATGGAGTAGGTCTTGGCTGTTCCGGCGCCTGTCGCAAGCAGGTGGGGCAAACACGGGGGCCCCGCTGCCTCCCCCTCGCGCAAATCGCTGTTTCGCGAAATCGTGTGTTGGTTTTTCGAGTCGCCCCTTCAAAACATAAGAAGGGGTCTTCAGGGCGCCGGATGCGCTGTACAAAACATACCCCTGGGGGCAGTCAGTTGTAGGTGGGTCCTCTGGAACCGCAAACCCGGAGAATTTCACAATTGGATGCCAAGTGGATCTCAATTGGATTCGAATTGGATTCCACTTGGATTCTGATTGAATTCCAATTCGAATGGAACAGATCGATTCCAATTGGATTCCACATGATTCCAACTGGAATCCAATTACAAAGGAGCGGACCCTAGATCCAATTGGATTCTGTTTGGATTCCGATTGGGGTTCCATCTGGAATTGAGCGGATCCCAGATGCAGAGGACTCCAGTTGGACTCCAATAGATTTCAATTGGAATCCGAGTAAGATGGAGTGGACACTCGATCCAAACAGAGTTCAAAACAGATGCGCTAAGCAGGGGCCCGGACCCAGACCCCGCCACCTCCCCGCCTTTTGCCATACATCGAAGCAGCACATAAGCAAAAACGCTCACACACACAGCCCAAGAGACCTCAAAGACAGCCTTCAAGCGCCCCAAGAGAACTCACATCTAACCCGAGCGGCCCCGAAGACGGCCGCAGAAAGCGTCTAACGGCCAATTGGGCCCTGAGGCAGCCCAAGAAGCCCCCAAGAGGCTCCCGAGGCCTCTACGATGGCCCAAGAGGTCCCCAAGAGGCCCCGAAGAGGAGGTCCAACGAGGCCTTCTCCTGCTTCACTTGCTCGTCCTCCTTCTCCATGGTTTTTCCTCCCCCTCTTCCTCGCCTCCCC